AAACAAAAAACCAACTTACTTCTAGAAGTCCGTTTTCCTCTTAACTAACAATATTTGCAAGGAATTTCCTAACACTAGAGATAGCAGTTAGCATGACAGCCTTGGAGCACACAATGAAAAAATACACTCAACCCTTCCTATGAGAGAAAACTGACTCTAAAAATTTGTGCTGTAACATTAAGTGCTAGGAAGAGGGACAACTGAAACAACAAAAAAAAAAGGTCACGAGTGAAAGAATTAAAATCCTTCAGTGAAGGCAGGAAACTTCTTCATTTCTGAATTGAGAAAGACAGGTGTTAAATGATGGGGGATGAAACAGGGAAGCAGGAAAGAAGCCTGTCCATCACAGTTATAATGAAAGAGGCTACTTGAGCCTAACAGATTTAAGCATATAGAAAGCAGGAAGCTTCTGAAATCAGTAGTGCCTTTGCTGCATTTCCAACAGGTGAAGAGAACAGAAGGAAAGGAAACCAGAAGAGAAATTACTGATTCGTTCCTCACTACCAAGTTCAGTGAGGGCACATGGGGCAGGTTTCTTTCCCGAGTAGGTAAAGCTCAGATTCAGCTAGAAAAGAAGAGCAAAACTGAAGTTGCTGGCACCAAAGTACAATTAATAAATTCTGTATGCCAGAGGCTTGTCAAACAGACAGAATTTTTTAGCATGTTGGAGCAGTGAAGACCAGAAACTGTAACAAAACTTAACTGCCTGTTTTCTATAAGCATGACCAGGGACATGAAAGGTCATAGTTTCCTGCAAGTGTGTTAATAATAATTACAATACAGTAGCAGCTGGTTGAGCTGTCACTTAGAAAGATGAATGTGCGAGCAACACACTTGCAGCATATGCTCTTAGGCAGACCAGAGAATAAAGCAGGGAAAGGCTCCATCCAGAGCAGCTGATGGATGGGTGATTAACACATGTAGCTGTCAGAATAGTGGTAGCCAAAAATGCCCTCTTCACCAGAGGAAAATATACTGTAGGGCATCATTAATGTGCCCTGACTTAACAACTCTGAAATTCCCAGTTTTCTGAGACACTTGGTGTTCCAGACCGCAGAATTTTCCTTTTCTGTTTATTTATTATTTAACAAAGTGTGCACTGTCTTTAGTTCCACACAAAGAAAACAGTTTTGATAAGTCTTCTTCCCATGCTGCAACAGCTAACAAGGTGGGAATAAAGCATGGTAAATGGAAAAATTTTAAAGCGGGGTAAAACATTACCCTACCTACCCTAGCCAGGGTTGCCATCAGTAAATGGAAAATGCTTGGTCAGTTAACTAATTGTGTATGGATTTATCACCAGGACAAATGCATTTAACACTGTCCCTGCTGTCACTTATGGTGACTTCAGTGTCAGGTCAAACCAGGGGCCTTTACCTCATCTGGCACAAGTAAATCAGAAGAGGGTTTCACTCATGGTGTCTTTTGGCTTTAGGCAATAAATCTCATACACATATTTACCAGCTGGGAAATTATATTTGCCCTGTCCCACTTGGCTGTTCTAGTCAAAAAGAGCTTCCCATGTTGGCTGCCAAATTGCCTGAAAGGCAGCAGAACAGCCCTTTCCCCATCAATCCTCTGGGCCCCTCTTTCCATCAGGTCAGGTGAAAATACTGCTTATTAACATAATTTATTCGTCTTGTGTGAAGGAGATACAGTAGTGCAACTATAAATTCACGTAGCATAGTTGCTGTGGGTAAGGTGAATCGATTTTCCATTCTCTGTCTCTCAGAGCTTATTTCCTTGAAGAGACAAGTCGGGATATACCTCAGTAAGCAGTAAATCAAAAAGTCTTTTTTCCTCGCTGTATAGTTGGATAAGTTTCAGAGACCACTGCTCTTTCTTTTTTTAATATTTTTTATAAAAGAATGTAGCCTAATGTAACCTCAGGGATGTTGGGAATAGTCAGCAAGGTTAAGAGCTCTGAAATTAATTAAATAAGCCCATATGCTACAGCTTTGGCTGCATGTTTGACTGGAAGTACCTTTTTATTACCTCTAATAGTCTATAAATTCTCCTGTTTCCAAAACCTGAAATCTGTAAGGTTTCTTTTTTAGACTTTTTTTTTTTTTTTTCCTGTTTTCTTAAGCTTTGGGCCTTTAAATTTCCAAAGTGCTTAGACACTGTAATCAGTGCAATAAAAGTGCAATTATCACTTCCTACATGCAGTTGTAACTACCCAGTCATATAAGATCAATTTCTGACTCAAGCTGTTTATGGTCTAGTTCAGATACAGCAAAGATGGTTTATAAGGAGTAGCAGAATTAAAAGAACTGAGGATGTACCAGAATATATATCAAAACATCTTTAATTAATTTTTGTGTGAGCACAGGGTTGCTTGAGTAGAAGGGCTTTGCTTCAAACAAACAGCTGTAGTAGTAATAAAGCTGAGGGTAAAAATGGATTGGATTTGAGGTTACATAAGAGGACCAGTAGATCAACATCTGTTTTGCAGAAAACCTCAAAGATCTCTGCTGTTCATTCAAAGAGTTCATAAAATTGAATGCAGACAGACAGGGAACCTGATCTAGGAAATGCATGGGGACAGCAAGACATGTCTGCTGTCCTGGGCTGCTTCTGAGTGAAACCTAAAGATGCATAGTTTCTCAAACACCATGACATCTTGCTCAAACTCAGTTGCCAAGCAGACAAAATCCTATCAAAATAAATAGTCTGTCTGCATAAATGAAAAGCTACATGGTAGGAGCACCTTCACCTTTCTTAAAGCTTCTTTTGGTTTTATGCCTCTTAAACTTTGCTCCTGCACTCTGAAACCCTGTCAGCCACCTGGATGTACAGTCACATGCAATACTGTCAGTGGCAGGGGACATTGCTTACATCTCCTTGCTGCTACATGCACGGTGCTTTTTCTCTGGAGTGGGGGTAACTTGTTCTCATATATTTGCAGTATAAAACTAGAGAGCCAAGTTATGATTTGAATTCTTATTTTCTCTCTGTCTATATTTTTCCATCAAAAAACCTGTTTCATTTCCACATGCTTTTATGCCTAGCACTGTTGAAACTTGACTTCTTACCAGTCTCCCAACAAGATGTGATAAAGTTGTACTACAGGTGTTACAATAAGAGAAATGACAAATCAAGGCCTACATTAAAATCCCAGTGAACCAAATCAGTTGGCCATAATCTCTTACCTAGGATACTTGTGAGCTTGTTTCTGTGATGGGCTAGTGATTGAATAATACTGAAAAATAAGTAATTTTACACATTGGTTTTTGAACAACTTGGCTTATTTGGTAAGATGGGGGCATTCCTGCTGGTATATTAATATAAATAAGAGTTTGTAAAATGAAATGGTGCCAGAATACAATTCTATATGCAAACCAGAAATTTTTTTCATTAACAAAAATCAGTTTTGACAAGTTCTTGCAGAGGAGAGGGGGCTCTAGCATCCTAGTGTGTCTAGCATCCTGTTCTCTGTGAAATTTCATCAGGTGATATGAGCCACACCAGACAGAAAGGAGAACTGAACACAAACTTCTTCTACATTATATGTAAGTACTTCAGGATTTAAAAAAGCACCCAAAACAAATTTTTGATTGTCCTCAGTTAAAGATGAAGAAAGGAGTCCTGGGGCAGGGTTTCATGCTGCAGGCTACCCACAGGAATGCTGACATGGTCCTGTCTCCTAAAAATATGAAAAAGGTTTTGTTTATATCGTGGTTCAAGGAGAGGAAAAAGTTGAAATGTCCAAAGCTTTAGTAAAATACAGCCTCTGTCTTCCAGTTAGTTTCACTGAAATCAGTAGGACATCCTTGTGCTGAGGCTTTGACCACTGATGGCTGGGTGGTTGCGTGCCTTCCTCCAGTCAGTTGAGGATTTGCAGAAAGGTTGCTTGGTGCGTGCCCGCTGTGGACCTGTGCATGGCTTGTTGCAATGCTAATAGGTGCAGTTTAGGTGCAGTTTCAGTTGTGCTGTGGGTGACATTTGGCTACTCAAAGGACAAGATATGAGGGGCAGAGCCGAGCCTGGGAAACCTGGGACCTATTTTTAGCGCTGTTACCAGTGACCTCTTGTGGCTCAGATACTGCCGTGCGGAAGAATAATTTGTTTGGGTCAGGATGGGAGGCTGCCAAGAAACGTCTGCATTGCAGGTGTCTAATCTGTTGCGCTATGTATGTTGTCGCTCACTTCCCCCACCATGTACTCCAGCATCGATGTATATAAATTGTCAACTTTCATGTACGTTGCAACTCTCCTTCCAAATCTTGCCTGAAGGAAGGGATGATACATAGGAAATGGCTTTATATGCTGCTAAAATTTTGGGTTTTCATTCTCCCAGAGACTGTTTTTACCATGGGTTTCTGCCTACTCACTTCTCATTCAATCTCTCCTGCATGCTGTGGCCACCTTAAATTCAAATCACAGGTGTTAACAGGCTTTCTGCATGAAGCCTGCCCCAGTTTATGTACAAAACTTCTGAAAAATCACAAGATTTTGTTGAGGACAGTATTACAAAACACCTGATTTCTTGGACATGTACCTGGAATTTGCATTCATGTGAAGTCACTGCAGGAAGATGACAAAGGCATCTAGGGTAGAGAGTGTATCAAGTTCATGAAACACCTGCATGACAAAATTAAGAACAGCATGGCAAATCTGATGAGTCCACACAGCTTTGAGGTGTCTGGGCCTTGACATCGTATCCCACTAACCTACATTAATCAATCACTATCTAGTGAGAGATAAGAAATGAGTAGACTGGGGGAGGAGGCAGGGGGTGCTCCAGAAAATAGCTTGAGAGAAGTCCTGGAAACTGCTCTCGGTGCCCATGCACTGGTAGCAGCACGACTGAGTTTATTGACTGAATTTTCTGGTCAATCCAAGGTCTGAGTAGAGTGTGAGCAGCAATTGCTGTATCTAGTATCAGGAAGCTCTCAGAAACTTCTGGTACACTGTGAGCAAAGCGGCTGTCACAGAGCAGGGGGTCTGTGATCAAATAAGGAGGAGCCAGAGATAAAAAGGACGAAACAGCTCTTTTCCCTTGCACATTGTCGTAGGAAAAAGACAAGAAGCACAGGATGGTTTGTTTTAACTTACTGTTAAATTCTTAACTTCTTAACTTTAAAGTCCTAACTTTAATTTACCATTAATTATTAACTTTTAAGCAGCCAACTGTTAAGTATTTACCTTCATAATCCATAATTCATAATGTTGCTGAGACTGCTGCTCTGTTTGCTGATAGCATGCCTACAAATCAAGTATGTCCTGGGTCGCCCTTATTTCCTCTTACCCACAGGTGTCACACAGAACATGGTTTACTGCAGTTACACAGGGAGTACAAGCCATTTACAGTTGTGTGGTCCCACTTCCCACCTGGCAAATGTATGTTCCACTGGTAACCTTTGGGTGTCCCTATAGAGGCTTTTTGCAAAAGTTGTGCAGCTTTTTATAAAAGTTATGTGGCTGCAGTACAGCTAAACAAGCTAGAGTGTTATAAGATAATGGACACAGAACATTAGCTCTCCTTGTTCATACAAGGAAGTGCCACTTTCTTCTGCATCATGCATCTCTGGTATATCCCCTACAGTAATTTATGAACTATTGTCCATGAACAGTTGCCATTTGTCAGTAGACAAGACATGTGTGTATTAAACAAACTATAAGTCCGTGAGTGCTTCTGCTAATTTCAGGGTGTTTAGAAAAGCAGCCATTGTAGTCCCCCTATCACTTTTGGAGTATCAATTATGTCTACAGCATTTTGGGGCTGTCAACTTCCAGATTACAATAGAAACTGTACTCTCAATATGCTCCTTAATAGAAGGAATGCAAGCTCTTCACACTGCTTCATGTCTATGAATCGGGTTTCCTCTGTATTCCCGTTCTGCTGCAGAGACCTTGGACCAGACACCAAGGCTTTGGAGTGGTGTCAGGAAGCATGAACAAGATCTGAAAAATCTGGGCAAAACAGCACACTACAAAGGCCATATGAGTATCATAAAGCTGAAAAACAATCAACACAACTGATTGACTCAGAGATTTTATTGCTGTAACTTCCAAGATGTGTTTCAATCTACGTGGAGGTTTGTGTGGGGATAGAACCCAGATCAGGGGTCTGGGGACTCTCATGCCTGTTACAGGTATGCGACTGTAAGGAGTGAAATCATCAATCTGCCAGCAGGAAGCTCAGAGGTAAGCAAGCATACAGTATGTATCTCTGACACCTGACCTGCTTTCTTGACACAGTGCCACTGTCAAGAGAATCACAGAAGAATGCTTGAACTCTGTAGTTCTTTATATCTCAAAAGACAGGGTAGCAGATCACAGATTTCCAAGTATCTATGTTATCAGATGAAGTAGATTGAAACCAAATGACCTTCTATTGTCTGTAGACATACAGACAAGTGTAGCAAAAGGATTTCTCCTTCAGAGTAATGTCACAAAATTATTTGCAGGCAGATCCCCAACACATGGATAAATTGTTATTTTACCTTCTATCAACATTTTCTAAATGCTCTAGACTTCACTGAGACTTCCTCCCCTTGCATATATGCAATAGCTTCATGACACATTAGCTGTGACTAAGAAAACTCAAGGGGACCAAACTTTTGATTCTTCCAGTATTATGGATTGATCATAATGAGGAGAGGAAAGCCTGCAGACATTTCTCATCTCATCACAAATTATCTATGTAGAGGTAAATTAGGTGACTCAGAGGAGAAATGAGTCTGGCAACACATGGGGCAAGGTAGTGTGGTTACTGTCACCTTTTACAAATGATAAGTAACATTTATAGTGGCAGACAGGTCAGTGAGTTGTGATATTGATCTGTCAGATAAATGGAAAAATGTCCTTCACGTAGTTGCTAAAAGTACTTTTACTGGTAAAAGTAAATAAAGGATTGGAAGCTACTATTGATGATGTTCCCTGAATTAAACTCCGAAGAGGAAGTGTCCAACAGATCAAAACAGTGCACAATGCAGTAGACTTAAAGAAGGATGTGACTGATGTCTGAACTTTGCTTGAGTATCTTACTCTGGACATTTTTGCTAAGTGAGGAAGGGCTGGTATTACCCATCATGTTACTGATGTTGATTTAGCATGTGCTTTCTGAAAAGTTGCAGAACAGCTGAACCCCAAAGTGGAGCAACAAGTGAAAATAAAGTTGATACTGGAAGTCACTGAGCCATGTAATACTCTGTGGGGTAGCCATAGGTGTCATCCCAAAATGGAATAGGGAAATTTGGCTCAAGGTTCTAGGAAACTCAGGTCGCTTCAGAGTATGCTGTCTAAAGTCCTAAATATTTGTGTCCCAAACACTTACTAAATGTTAGAAAATACCATTTTGTATTGATGGGTTTCACAAAGAGCTGTTGGGGGCATCTGTGCTCAAATACAATTGCTTCAGGATCTGCTGCTCACATCTGGAACAGGTAGGATGCTTGGTATTGCTCTAAGGGGTTACTGAAAAAGTTGTCTGAGTCATATCGAAGTTTCTAGATGATAAGACATAAAAATCTATCTAGTGCTAGCTTGCTTGAGGATAGACTAGCTCTGTGCATCTGGTGAAGAAAAGTTTATATGAATTTGTCCAAGTATAAGGACCCTTTCGTTCTTTTACAAAGAAAGAGATTTTAGCTTTAAAAATTTACTACAATGAAAATACACACCAGAGTAGGGCTGCAAGCTGTGCTCATCTAGAAGCAAGCAGAAAAACATACCCTGTTAACAATTAGCAGAAAAGTGGACCTGCAAGAGCAGTAATATATAACCATAGAAAAAGGCCATCTCGTAGTAAAATGGTCATGTGAAACAGCAGAATTTTGCCTCTGAGGATTTATTTTTTCATTAATATGAAAATATTCCATTGAACAGTAAAATACAGTCAGGTATAAGAATGCCATTTATCAAGTATGACTAAGAGATATTTGGTCTTGCAGCCTTACACACTAGGAAGTGGGATATAGAAAGTTTTAGGGTGTTTTTGTTTGGTTTTCGTTTGGTTTTTGGGGTTTTTTTTGGTTTTGTTGTTTTGTTTTTTTTTTTTTTCCCCCACTAAAGACACTGACCCTTTTCTCATTTCTCTCTCACTTCTGATTTCTGTTACGGCAGATCAGCCAAATCCTATTACAAACTCTGTTCGTTTGGTTGTAACAGGTTCTCTAGGATTTGTAGAGAAGCACTGTATAAAGTAAGCTTGTGGTGCTGGCTTTGCAGTGATATTACTATTATAACTCTTTTTTCTATTATATATTCTATCAATATATAATTTAGTGAAAACAGAATAAAATCTCATTCACACTTACACCAAAAAATCCCCACTGTGAAAACCAAAAAAACCCCCAAACCCACAACAAATTTGCCATCCTCAGTTTCTGTGTGCTAAAGGGTGTCTGGGATGACAGACTCATAATTTGCATATGGCAAGGATTGAGAAGAACAGGGAAAAGGACAGAGAATATTTTATAAATTCTCTCTCAGAGGTGAAAATTGATTTTAGGGTGAGATTACAGACTAAGCAAAACCACAATTCCCTATTCTGTAACTATATTCTTTTCATTCTGCCTGCCTAGGTGCATAACTTTGCATCTCGCTTTCTTAAAAAAAACCACTTAATCTGAGTAGATCCCCATAATTAATAAACTGCATCACTATTTACTGTTTCACAAGTTTGTTATTTCATACACAGGTCTGGTCAATGGTGATTGTAAATCTTGATATAATTGGTGTTAGTTTTCAAGATTTGACAGATCTTTGCCAAACCAGACATTTTTCTCTTAGTAGATTTACCTTGCATTATAACTGTATTTGAATGAGTATATAATGTAGCATTAAGTTATATGTTGTATGAAGACAGATATGCTATTTCTGAAAACTGGTAATCTTCACAAATAGCACCATCAAGCTTGATGAGACACTTAGGCTAATGCTCCATTGGTTTTATACTGCTAGCCTTTACTGGTAAACTACATACCAAATTTCTGCAGGTCTACTGCATCTGTGCTGCTTTTGCTTCCTGTGTATGGACACATTAGTTCTCTGTCTGCCTGGAATTTTCATGTGTTCAGGGTTATGTTCCAGCTTTAAATATTCCTTAACAATGTTAATAGCCTTTCATACTATGGAACTGGAAAATATTTCATTGTGATATATATTAATGGCTGATAATATTAATGAATGGTAATATTCCTATTATCATTCTTCCTTTCTTAACTCTCCTCATTTTCCTGGACCTTGTGCTGCACTTACTCTAAGGTGGCCAAGCTTGATATGGTTCCTTAGGAAAATTTCTATGGGCCATACTCTACCCTCTTTCTTGAAAGGCCTCTGGATGAGAATACAAGTACTGATACGACCTTAAGAGAAGTACAGCACATAGGAATGTTTTTTCTAGACCTATGGTGGAGCACAGCTGTGTATTACATCATATGAAGGGGATGTATGTATGCATGGTCCTGATGGTGGGTAAGTAGAAGCGTATATGTAAAACATATACAGCCAGCTGTAAGAGTTGTTCAGAAGATCAGTATTGTCTCAACACTGTCATCAGGGACATGGACAGTGAGGTACCTGACAACGGCTTGCTTGGCCTTGCTGATCCCTGGAGTGGGAGGTGGTGCAAAGGCTCCAGAAGGCAGAACGGCGAGTGCTGTGCAGTTCTCCTGAGCACTGACCCGTGTGGTGCAGGCAGTGCTGGGCTGTTCTGCGGTACCTGAGCCGCGCAGTACAAAGAGTGCTGTGCTGTTGTTCAGTACCTGGGCCCAGCCAGAGCCGTTAGAGATAACCGCATAGCCACTGTCAAAAAAGATGGATTGCAACGGTTGCCATAACATCGATGAAGAAATCATGAACCTTAGACGAACTTTGCTTCATTATAATACCAAAACACATTTCCTGGTGGAAGGCTGCCCGCCACCAAGACTGACCATGCCTCAGACACTCCCCCTGCACATGTGCGATGGCCTCGCTCGAGAAAGGCAGAGACCCCTGAGGCGGAGGTGGAGCAAGGTGTGTTACTGAGCATAAAGGGATGACTGGACAACGAAAATTGGAAGCTTCCCCACCAAGGACCATGACAATTGACGACACAGCATCAGCTGGATCCGGGACCATTAGGACATCATGAGACCAGCAGCGGTAGCTATAACCTCTCTCTCTCCTCTCTCTAAAACTTTACTTTTTCCTTTCTTTCATCCATCTCTATCACGTGCCACTTCACGGGCTACACAATAAAGTTTCACTGGTTTATTACTGCTATCCCCTTTGGTGTTGGTCACCTTAATCTCGCACTTTCGAGATCCTAGCAAATGGAACCATCACAAGTCCACTGAGCGGACCATGACACCAGCCCTTTACCAGATTTTTTGATGCTTAAAAAAAATCAGCCAAACCCTTTTTCTACTTAGTCTTACAATCTCTATTTATCCACTCTAGTGCAGAATTGAACATCAGAACTCTCTGCTGCAGTAGGCCTGTGTCAAATGGTTCCATTTGCCATTCAATAAAATTAACTGAGAATGCAGTAACTTATCTTGCCTATAAATTTTATCTATTCTGACTTTAAAAGTGAGAATTAAGTAATCTTTCCAAGCAATTGGTAGAGGCTAGGAAATTAAATCAGCAGAAAAAATACAGCATATCTAGAAGTATAGGGGAACAGGAAATGACTAACCACAAACCTAAGCATGTCTTGGCTCTCCCCTCTCCTTTCTCTTTCCTTCTTCATGCCCCCACACTAAGCAGAAAAGTATTTATATATAACACTATATGCTTTAAGAAAAAATAAAGAAGGAATCATGAAATGAAACTGGAGGTTAAATCCACCAGCTGAAAACTGGTGCAAATATGCTTGCAAGTGTGAGAATTTTAGAGTAGAATTCACACATTAATACAAAAATGGGGAAACCATCCTGAAGCCAGAGTTGTCTGCATGTATATCCACGTACTCTTTTTCTCAAAACCCCTGTATTTTATTTTAATTTGGATAACTTTCCTTCAGATGATCCCTCATGCTCCCAGACTGGCCCAATCCCAGCTTCTGGTTGTAGTTTCATGATAGCCTATTTCAAGAGTCTTCATCACTGCAAAACCGTTGAAAATAGCTGCTTCCGAAGAGTATTTGAAACACTATGGTTGACTTCAGGTCATGTCTACACTTCTGAATTGAGCCTGGAAATCTCAATTGTCAATACATCCTGCTCAGTATCCACTACAAGTTTAGTTCACTGGAATACTACTCAGATAGACAAGAAGTATTTGCCTGCCTAGTGAAATGAAAGTAAACTACTGAAGGATTTGTTAGTAGATTTTTGCAAATTGCCTCGATTTTTTTAACAAAATCAGCAACTTATACTTCAATCACAGGGTAAGCATTCATGTAAACTGATATGATTTTGTTTAGTAAACATACAGAAAATTTTTCCATGTGCTTTTATTAGGACAACGAATCAGAACATTCTTCTACAAACCAGGCTTTGTTCTCTAGTACATAACTAATTTTTACAGAAGAGTTAAGAAAAATTCAACTCAAGAAATTCAGTTTACAGTAAGCAAGTAATATTTTTTTGTGCTATCTTATGCTGCATCCATTAACCAGTTCTTTAGCTTCAATTTGCTTGACTGCAATTGCAGCTGCATTTTGCAAAGTTTGCCTACTGTATAGTCAGTCACCTTGTACACACAGTAAGTTTGTTCATTCAGCATAATGATGAGGATCTGGTTGACACAGAAAATAGAATTGCATAGAGTATGTAATGAAATCTGCACTTTATACTTCTGATACAGAAAGCAAAAGAATTCAGCTTTGCCCCTTAAACCCAAATAGGAGAACAACTTAGCTCATTAGCAAAGACCACTCGATAAGGTAATGAAAGTGATGCATTTGAGTCCACCAAGCCATGTGTGTGATCAATCTTCAGAGCACAGTGTGCAGGAAATCACTAGTTTGTGTAACTTTATTTAAAATAAAATCAAAATGATTAAATCATAAAGCTCTGATACATAGGAACAGAAATCAGTAATACGTTAACATGCCAGAGTCTGGGACAAATTGTCTTTTAACAGAAGTGAGAAGTACTTTAGAATCAATCAATGCTTAGTGGCTCTTTGAAAAAAGCAGAACTTGTTTCTTAATACACAAAGTATTAGACAGATTTTTTCAACTCATGTCTCAAAGCATTGTTACAGGCATGTAAAAACACCAAACGTGAAAAATTATTGACTTCTTTCATGTGAGATCAAAACTCCCCCTCCTGAATTAAGGCCAAAGCAATTTCTTCCTGGAAACCAGAAATGGAGTTTTGAAAAATGATCATTAAATTTCAAGAAAGCCCCAAATCAAGACATAGATATGTGCACACTTCAATTATACAATCAGTAACACTAACTGCAGGCTGCCTGCAATTTTACACAAAAAATAATTCTATTATGCTGGTGTGCAGGTACTTAAAATTACCCAGTCTTTGTACTACATATGCAAAGGTACACCATATTGCACTAACTTACTTTTTTGCATCTGAGAAGACACTAACCCATAGGTCAACAAAAAAATTAGATTTATAAAGTCCATGTGCTAGGTTTAGGGTTTTTTTTCCTTTAACTTTCGATGTACTTTTAACTGTTGAAGTCTCCGAGGTAAGGAGTGGGCTACAGTACACTTCAGTTAGTCATACAGTTTGAACAACTGGAAAACTAAGACTAGCACAAGAACATAAAATTTCATTTAAACTTTTTAAGTGCTAGACTGAAATGCAAAAAATAACAGTAGGTAGGCTGTAGGCAACTGATGTCTCCAAGAAAAGTACAAAGTCAGAGCTCAGCTAATTAACAGATAACAGCCCTGGAAATGGCATTGTAACTGGAATTTTTAAGTGGTAAGAAAACTGCAGAAGCTGTGCCTGGTTTAGCCTAGCTTTGGGTAAAACTCAGTGAAAATGACTCCTTCTTAAATATAAGCATCACCACACCCTTTCAACCTACTTTCTTCTGTGTAATAACGGCCTTCCACTTCAAATTTGAATGCCTGTGTCTCATCTACCAAAGTGATCCAAGCATTTTCAGCACTAGTAGAAAGATATATATGTAAACTGTTCATCTTCAGAGATCTTCCTACTGATGAGAACTATTTGCAATGTTTCAACCTCTGCAGTGATTCATGCTTCTGAATTATTCTTGTCTGACTAGAGAACACTCGATAGTCTTTTAGCAGGATGAAATTAGTAAGCATTTTGATTACTCCATGACTTTCCACTGCTGTAACTCTATGTGGAAACTATTTTTTTGAAAACTACTCACAGAATTATAAATGAATTGGCCCTGTTCTCTGATTAGATGGAGTTGTTAAAACCAGAATAATTGCTAGCTCAGGGCTTTCAATGCCTGCTACTCAACTTGCCTCTCCTACAACTTTCCATTAACAAAATGTTTACTGCTCTTGCTTTCAGCATAACTGCATGCTTTCAGTAAAACTGCATGTAGTCCAGACATAATTTTATTGCTTTATTCTTCTTCTGTTTTAAACTCAGTAAGGCAGTAGGATATCACTAGGATTATCCAGCAAAATAGCTTAAACAGAAATCTTAGGGAAAAGCATAAATTAGCTTTTGTACAGAAGTAAAAATTGTTAAGACTGAGAAAGAAATAGACTACTCTTTCATGAATTTCAGATTATGTGAAATGTGCCATAACTTTACCTACATTAGGGAAATTACAAGAAGATAAAACCTTCAATTATAAAAGCATGAGGTAAATTACTAACACTCTGAAACTACTTGTTTTATAGAAGTGTGCTGAACAGGAAAGAGACATAAAAATTGGATGTAAATTTTGAGGATTTAATTCTAATTTTGTGTTGAACATCTCTGAAGAAGGATAAGGATTAATTTTGGTATGTCCTTGTAGACATGAAGTCAATTGGAGGCATGACTGCAATAAAGCTGTCGGCAAAAATACAGTAAATTAAGTGACACAGATGAAGAAAACAGAAATAGGTTTTTGCTATGCTTAAAGACAGAGGTCCTTGCTTCAGACCTTCAAATCAGAAACATAATAAACTTTTAAATGTCCAATTTGCTTGTGGTACTTTATGTCTTCACACCTGTTTTATGTTAAATGTCACTAAAGTCCTTCAAGTTAAAAGGCAGTCTTTGGAAAGAAGAGAAAGAAGAAATATGAATTTTCATGCTAAGAAATAGCACATATTCCAAATAATCCGTCTGTATAGGAAAAAGGTCCCAAGTCATGTGGAGGACAGATATAGATCCTCTGATATGTACTTCAGGATTTCAGTGAAAACTCTCACGGGTAAGTTACGGGCCCTTTACTGGCTGCATAAAAATGTACACACAACAGCTGAGCACCACAACCCTGCCAAGATCTGTGCTGTTCTACATGAAATAAAAAACCCCATCTAAATCACAGCTATCTTTGCAACTGGCTCCCTCAGCCTCTGACCTCAGGAGATGCTCACAACCACAGGAAACCGTCCCTGCTTCTGTACCTGAGAGGGTGAACGTTGGCTGGACCACACTAATTTTTCCAGTGACATTGATTATTGATCAGCTGAAGATTGTCTCACAGAAATCTCTCTTCCAGCAGAGTTCTCTGATGTGATACAGACCTGCTCTCCAGAGCCCAAAGGAAAGCTGCTAAGATTGGTAGAAGGATAAAGTAAGTAATGCAGCTTTCTAGGAGAGGCAGCAGACTGGATACATCATCTTCTGCATCGATTAGCAGCTGGGAAACATCAAGCATCAGGTAAAAAGGTACCTGGTAGCTTCTTCCCTGCTACAGGCAGATACTACCACCAGTCCAAATTCTGCTCCACAACTTGTGATGTAGTTACATTTTTCTGAACTGCTTTTGTACTATTGTCTTATTTTTAGCTTTTCTGCTTTTTTGGGGGGTGTAGCTTTAAAAAAACCACATAGCTGTTGCCTTTCCATCTGTTTAGCAAATAGGGATAGTAATTTTGTATCAAATCAATTTCTTTTGAAGAATCCTGTTTCAAGTTCTTCAAAACCATTTCTGCTTTTTTCCATCTCCTGCTAGGGTGAAAGTACAGTATGACTGACACTGTCCTGAAACACTTTTTGCAACTTCAGCTTACATCTGTCTGAAGAAGCATCACACTGATGGACTGTTCCTTTCTACTGTGTTCTGCGTTTGTTTCAATGGCTTCATTAGAAAGTGGCAACAGCCGAAATCAAATCTTTAATTCAGTCATGTATGCTGCATGCTCGAACACCTGACTTTCTAGCACATAACTGAAATGATCCCAAGGTCACGTTAACTTAACTTTGAGCAATCTTTGGTTCTTGATATAAAACTCAAACACAAGAAAAATAATATCGTCTTCAGAAATTACAATTCAGTGGGCAGGGAAGGTTCTAAACTGGATAATGTATTAGGAAATGGGCCACCAAGTTTAAACATTTAATGTGACCTTAACTGTTTTAAGCAAATTACATTTCATGTGATGGGATATGTAGGAGCTGAACTTAGTAAGGTGAGCTTTGTCTTAGTAATACTAACCGCATAATAACTTGAATATTATCCACATGGACTGTCTAAGAACTATGCTAAAGACAGCTCAAGAAATGTCCCATTTTCTCTTCTAGAAAACATGAAGTAAGCATTTGATTTTTGATGGCGCAGACAGAAAACTTCCTGGTTTAGCTTGAAAAAGCCTCAAATAAATCAGAATTTATTTTCCCTAACAGCACTTCCAACTGGAACACAGCTGATTTTCAGCAGAAAGGTGCACACATAATTCAGCCAGAAGCGCACAAGACAGTGCATCTTTCAACGTGCAGTTAGGAAACGTCATAGGAGCTTGGCAACTTTCATTTTGTTGCTCTTCTTAAAAACATATTTTTCTTATTGTTAAAAACTTGAAAGCAGCTGTCCTTGGAAAAAGTCTTAAATTTATCCAACAACCTGTAGTGACACACACTTTGTAGAAAAATAAGGGGAATAAGTAGGTTTGTGTCCTGGTTTCAACCATGATGGTTAACTTTCCCTGGATTGAGAAGGAGCACAGTTAGAGGGCAGGATCCTAATCAGTCATTGGAGTATTTCATACCATGTGACGTCATGCCCAGGGATACAGGTGGTCTCCATTTGCGGTCTCCATTTTCAGGTTCCGGTCTGGTGTGTGTTGCTGTGGGGAGTGGTTGCTATGCTCGGTAAGCCACTGCTGCATTTTACACATTTCTTTTTTGACTCACTATTGTTACTGTTGTTCTCGTTCTATTTAGTAAATTCTTTTTATTCAACCTATGAGTTTTCTTTTGTCCCTCCCCTATTTCACCGGGGAGGGGGAGGTGAACGGCCTGCCACGTGGTGTCTGGCTGCCAGTTGAGTTCAAACTTCAACAGTTTGCATAACTAGTAAGACACTGTATCATCTTATTCCACTTTTAATTCCTTTTAGCTATAAGACTTGTGCTCATTTTTTTTCTTTAAATCAAAACTTAACTGCTAGAGTTAGGCAAAAAGTAATTTATTGCCTTAAAGTTTTCACAGTGATTTGTATTTCACAAGATGAGTAAACAGTTGCATAAGGAAAAACAAAGTTGTGAAAAAACCCCTAATTTTGGTCCTAGAAACAAACTACAGCACTAGGTAGCTGCCTTGCGATGTCAACATGCCTCCTTCAGGACACTTCAGTATGAACTTCGCATGCAACCTTTGGGCTCAGTTTGTGTTTCTGTCACCATTCTTCCCTTGCAGCATCTAAATCTGTGCAGAAGAACACAGGGTCTTCCAGTGGCAGCTAATTCCACAGGCGTGAGCACAACAAATGTATAAATCAAATGCCGCAACTAACTTGCAGGATGTTGAACCCATGACAGAAGACATCACACATTAAGTTATTTATGAATACAAACTCTGCCTCCAAAACTTAAAAGAGAAAACGGCAACTCTGGAAGAGCTGTTCTCTCCAGGTCCTGTGACACTTAAGAATTTTAACCTTGTGAGCTTCATTTATGCAGGAAAAAGTCTCATACGTGAACCTTCTTGCTTCTCTAGCCTCGTTATTACAAGTCCTTTTTTGCTTGCACTGTGAAACTGCATCATGTTAATCAGCAGTGCGCAGCATAACATGTAGCTTAAGTGTGGTAAAAGTCTGAGCTAGTAGAAATAGCTGGCTAATAAATGTTAAGCAGGACAGTCTCTGTCTATTATTAATCATGTTTAACTATTGTTCTAACGAAAGCTAGAAAGAAAAACTTGGTGGCTTTGGTTTTATTTACAAAATAAAACATCACTCTTCAACTGACTACATATTTCATAGTGCCAAAACATCTGTTATATGGTTTTAGCACTTAAAATAATTCAGAATTATAGCTGCAGATGACTATTTGTGCAACACCTCTATCTTAAGAGTGCTCTGGTCAATCAAATGCTGCCTTCTTTGGTAAGTGCTCATTTAAGAAGCTTTACCTATATATAGTTCTTTCCAGGATTATAAAAATACAAAAATCTGGTTCAATATATTTTTATAAGTGGGATAAGAGTCCTCTAGACCTCTTTTAATCTCTAAATACTTAGTGTGATTTTCATTTATCCCCAGTCTTTCACAAGAGCTTTTAATTCATCCCCAATCTTTCACAAGAGCTTTTAATTCATCCCCAATCTTTCACAAGAGCTTTTAATTCATCCCCAATCTTTCACAAGAGCTTATTTATTTAATTTTTTTAAAAGTATCAGACTGCTGTGTTGGACTGAATCTGTCAAAATTGCTAACGGGAAAGTCAGCAACAAAAACTGAAAATGAGATAATTCAAATACTTGTAACATTTTCTTACTATCACAGTAAGGAAGTATTCCTCAATAAGGTGTAATATTTGGCTGCAGGTATTTGAGCAATGTGAAGGAAGCACTTATTTAACTCTGCAGGAAGCTTGAAAATGGCTCATTTTTTTTTAGTTCTCTAATTCACAGGAAGAAGCAATATATTTTTAAAATGTTTATTCAGCTTCAGGTATCTTTTCTAAAGATACCTATGGTATATTTGATACATATCTTCCCTCATTCCTTCAAACACATTTAAGCTTTGAGGTAATTTAGGAGAAAATATAATAGCACATTCAAAAAATAAAAGCAAGAGATCAGCAAAAAAAAATGTAGGCAGGATAAATAGAAAAATATTCTGTCTTCCTTTTACTATGAATAGTTTCAGCGTAATGCACTTCAAAATGCAAAATAATCAGGTCACTAAGTCAAAAATTAAGTGTATTTCTCAAGTAAAATTGACTGAAGCAAGCATTTCACCTGAGTTTACATTTCAGGGATTGGGCCCATAGCAATAGAGAAAAGGCATCCAGGGGCAGATTGTCAACGGCATTCTACACCTTACTTAGAAGAGTACAGGAAGGAATAGGGGGAAAAAAGAAAAAAATCAAACCTTGTCTTGCTGCTCTATGTGGGTAAAAGACAATGACTCTCTATAGCAGCATCTCCCTACATGCCTGTCAGCCAGTACTGACTCTGCCATATGATCTTATCTGCATAAAGGAACCTATATCCAGGGAGATTTTGGGAAATGTTAGCAATGGTGTCCTGCTGTCCCAGCAGGACCTTTCAGTTTGAGGAGCATATTCCAGAGATGCAAGGCACTTGCTGGGAAAGTCTGAAATGCAACCTGCAAGTTTAGAGATGGTCCTCTGCCCATTCAACGATAAGGGTATGCCACACTTCTTCTGTGAGATAATTTCTAAGGAACTCTGATTTAACATGAGGCATCTTCTGGCACACATGAAGATTATTCCTTTGTGAAGCATGATTTCACCTCTCATATATATGCTATATTGGAAGACTGAAATACTCTAAGTAAGATATATTTACAGTTGTAAAGATAAGTTTTGAGAATGACATAGGCAAGTTATAGTTCTTCAGGCTGAATGAGAAAAGCTAATCAGAGTCTTCATCGTCGAGGTATTCCTCTGCATTACTTAATGTTCGGACTGTACCTGGAAAGAAAAAAACCTCTCTCTTAATCCAGGATAAAAATCAGAAAAAGCCTCACATTTGCGATGTTTGAAAAGCAGCATCTGAGAAACCTGATCCCTCTATCATTCAGAGATGTCAGGGCTACAAAGATGGAGCTGTAGATCTGAATCTCAAAGGTAGGGCTAAACCAGTAATCCCATCTCCTACATACAAAATTTAGTCTGTTCATGATCTTCAAGAGCCATCTTCTGGCTCCTTGAAACCTGTACAGCAGAGCTGGAACTCTTTAATTTGATTTTATATACATATTACCTTTAAATCACAAAGAAAAGGTTGGGTAGCTGGTGGAAGAGCCTCTATGGTTTTACTGGAAGTGCTTAACTGGCTACCATTCTCTGCTTAAAATCAAAAACATTCCACCTATTCTCTCCCCTCCCTCTTTTCTCACCTAGGATTTTTCCTGATTTTTTCTTAGATCTATTTATGAGCATTTGCTTTTGAAGGACAGCAAGCAAAAAACAGGAGCACTAAAGTGTATTCACCAGATGTGCATCAGTGCCTGGAGAACTACATCTACCTTTGGGATGGTACAAAGATAACAACATAGGCTTTTAGTGATAGAGTATTATTTGCCTATTTGATTTTCAAATATACAGGAATAGGAACATGTGTATTATACTGTACTACTGAGAGCCAGGAACCATAAGATCCTAGTCAGTCGTACTTTTGCAATAACTTATTAAAACAAAGTATTAAAAATATCAGATGCAGGCATATCAAGACTGACATTGAATTATGTCAGAAGTGATAATCACGTTATCCTAGGTTTCTGGAAGAAGAAAAATGAGTACATTTAAAACTGATTCAACTGTTTTGATAAAAGAAATATAAGAAGAAAATACTTTTTTTTTTCCTTTTTGAGTAGGAGAAGTAGCAAAGGAAGAAAGGAAAGAAAATAAAGAAATTGTAGGGCCCTGTTCTCAAGGGGCAATATTTCAAGAAAGGACAAATCCCATTTCTTCTGTATAAAAATCATTCTCTTGTTCAGGAGCACAAATGACACAATCTTTTTGCATTTCTATGAGAGGATCTTAGTAACTTCCATTTCTTAGAATATATTTCAGCAATCATGACATTTGAATGTGTGCGTATACACATAAGACACAAAACTGAACATTTAAGTGGAGGCAAAGTAAGCTTCTTTAGACAAATCAAAATGTTTTATAGATGGACTATGATAGAAGACATACCTAAATAAGAACAGATTTGAAACTGAGGACAGGAAGACTACCAATATTGGACTGAATTTCCAAAAAAGAACAGCAGTCACAGATACCAGAAATACTGAAATGTAGAATCAACAGACACGGAAGAATGAATAAAAATAACCAAGAAAATACAAGAAAAGCATACAGATCAGTGATGTCACAGAGATCATAAAAGGCCAGATTAAGATGGAAAACCAAGGAAGTTAATACTGAAATTGCAGTTCGACTGAGAACATCAGCTCTTGTATCAAGGCAAATAAGGAAAGTTAGTGTGCAAGAGTACCACAGAATGGTGATAAAAGAAAGGCCCAAGAGTTGTGGTGCATGGATTTAAATTCAGCTGGTGGCCAGACATGAGTGGTGTCCCCCAGGGCTCGGTTTTGGGGTCACTCCTGTTTAACATCTTTATTGATGATCTAGACGAGGGGATAGAGTGCACCCTCAGTCAGTTTGCAGATGACACCAGGTTGGGTGGGAGTGTTGATCGGCTGGAGGGTAGGGAGGCTCTGCAGAGAGACCTGGACAGGCTGGAGCCATGGGCTGAGCCCAACTGCAGGAGTTTCCGTAAGGGCAAATGCCGGCGGCTGCCATTGGGCCACAACAACCCCCAGCAGCGCTACAGGCTTGGGGAGGAGTGGCTGGAGAGCTGCCAGTCAGAGAGGGACCTGGAGGCGTGATTGACAGCTGGCTGACCAGGAGCCAGCAGTGTGCCCAGGTGGCCAAGAAGGCCAATGGCATCCTGGCTTGTGTCAGCAATAGTGTGGCCAGCAGGGACAGGGAAGGGATCTGACCCCTGTACTCGGCACTGGGGAGGCCGCCCCTCGATTCCTGTGTTCAGTTTTGGGCCCCTCACTACAAAAAGGACATTGAATGACTCGAGCGTGTCTAGGGAAGGTCAGCGAAGCTGGTCAAGGGTCTGGAACACAGGTTGTATGAAGAGCGGCTGAGGGAACTGGGGGTGTTTAGTCTGGAGAAGAGGAGGCTGAGGGGAGACCTCATTGCCCATCTACAGCTCCCTGAAAGGAGGGTGCAGAGAGCTGGGGATGAGCCTCTTTAACCAAGTAACAAGCAACAGGACAAGAGGTAATGGCCTCAAGTTGCGCCAGGGAACGTTCAGACAGGATATCAGGAAGCATTTCTTTCCAGAAGAGGTTGTTAGGCATTGGAATGGGCTGCCCAGGGCGGTGGTGGAGTCCCCATCCCTGGAGGTGTTTAAGAGTCGGGTTGACATAGCGCTGAGGGATATGGTGTAGTTGGGAACTGTCAATGTTAGGTTGGTGGTTGGACTAGATGATGTTCAAGGTCTTTCCCAACCTAGATGATTCTGTGATTCTCTGTGATTCTGTGAAGTGACTAAGGATGAAAAATCAGTCAGCCATGAATCAAATTAATTTAGAGCGAGTGAAGCAAATGCACCAGAAGTAGAAGTTACCTAGCATCAGAAAATGAAAAATTAATACAACTATTAGGGACATTAAGGAGAGAATACCCCTGTATCAGGTGCCTACAATTGACAGGAAAGATGACATAGGTGCCCCTAAGAGGGATTAACTAACATTGCAAACAAAATATGGAAACAGAAGCAATTCTGCCCTATCTTACAACTACTTTCTTCAGAGTCAAAACTGTGGGAAATAATTTTTCAAGGTTTTCTGGGAAATCCTGATTTAGCGGGATTTAGCATAATGTTGGACATTATCTTTCCTGTACATGCTCTTCAGCCTTCTAAAGCTGCAGACAGCTATTCCACCATTTAATTCCCATAACTGCTAACCACCCACAGGATGGCATTCCCTGTTCTCACCAGCTCTGCGACAATACAGTTGCTACACTGCATATCCTACTAATAAAAACAAAAGGCAGAGTTACAGCTTGTAAGTAATTTCTCACTTAATGTGTAATTCACATAGGGTATCCACCCTAACTTCACCCCCATGAAAGCTACAGGTAACATTAATTATGAGATGCTGAACTAATTAGTCTTTGTTCAGTGTTTTAAAATAGCCTAGTATTGCTTGAAGTGTTTTGTACATGTACACTGTACTATTAGGAGAGATGAACACAAGTTGGAGGCAATAAGCCTATACTGATAAACACCTGAAATCATTCTTTCTTTACTTCTCTGTTAAAAAGTTATTCAGAGAGACATAGGATTTTTTTTTTTTAATTAGCAATAAGAAAATAAGAGTAGCATCTGTAGGTGTTTGGCTTAGTTTGGAAGAACAAGACTGGCTTAAGTGTGAACATACCACATAGTTTTACTCTCACACTATGTACCTTGTGGTATAGTAATTTTTCAGTAGTTTCCATCCTTTCTTTCTGTCTCTCCACTCTGAAGGATTCCCTTCCCTTCCCCTTCCCCCTCCCCCTCCCCTTCCCTTCCCACATTGTCTGAACTCAACATCACATTTCATGTCAAGTCAGCAACACTGAATGTGATAAACCATAGGTGTCTATCACAGCTCTGTAAACTCTTACAAACACAGCTCTCAGCCCATGTAGCTCCCAAATGGTCTTTATGGATATCAACATTTTGATATTTGGTCAAAATATTAAGTGTCCTCTAAAAAGAAAAAAATGTATCAGAGTAACAAAATCAGAAATACCTGCATTCTGTTTCTTCTTAAGCAGGGAAGCACAAGCTGCATTGGTTGCCATGTCTAAAGCCAGTTTCTTCTCATTGTTCTTCAGATCTATTCTTGCCCCTTTAAAACAAAAAGTTTTCACAATGAATCATTATCTCAGCTATTTCTTGAGCAATGGCATTATGATATGAGTTTCCATAGCCACTGAACAAGGGAATCTCATCTGTGGACTGCTTTGAAACAGATTAAAAGCGATTTCCATAAGCAACAGTTTACTAGGGAACTTGCTGGCTGCTCTCCCTTTCCAGGAAGCAGATGTCATTGCTGTTCAGGGGTTAAGTGCCTAATTTTGCCTGCAAAGCAGGATGAAATTTATCTTGAGCAGGTGAAACGTATACTTTACAGCCAGCCACCAAAATTTTCTGCAAGGCTTGTCAAGTCAGGCAGGTAAGCTGGCTAAGGACTGTACCTGAGTTATAGAAAAACACTTTAAAAAGTACAGATTAATGAACATTCAGCAATCTAGTCTGCCACGCAGATTGTTGAAACTTTGGTGAAGATCTTTACCCTTTGCCAGCAGCATCTCTACAATATCTGCATAACCCTTCCATGCAGCAGCATGCAAAGCTGTGTCTCCCAATTTGTTCTGTGGAGTTAGAGGAAAAAGCAACAGGATTAAAATACAGAAAAAAAACCCTTTCAGCTAGTACCAAGAGTGAATAACATCACACCTCTACTGAAATGGTCTGCTGGTTTAACCTACCTGTTGATTTAACTCTAGGTTTGCCTGGGTAAACAGAACATCCACTATATCTGCAGAAAACAGCAGGGGCAGGAATAAGGGAAAAATTTAGTTGAAACAAAATAGGCTTTTTCACATTCATAGCATAAATTTCAGTTGGATTCAATGAAAAGTCAGACTGCATTCAGCAAACAACCACTAATCACAAAGAAATGCTACTGCATAAAATACCCAAAACAATACAACACTTCTTTTTGGTCTGTCCTTCTTCCCACTCTGCTTCTAAGTTACACTGATTAGAATGCATGCTTCAACAGCCACAAAAAGCCACACAGCATTTGATGGAACTTAACCTCCCTTCTAGATTTAACTTTTAAGAACTAGAATATTAAAAAAAACCACTGGCTTTATTGTTTAGTGCTGCAATTTTAGCAATCAGTCTAACAAGGAAATCAAGAAAACCAGAGAACAGTAATTTAAAATTAATTCTCTGATACCTTTGTGGCCTCCATGGCATGCCCAGTAGAGAGCTGTGTTTCCAGCTTTGTCTAAGCCATTGACCCCAACTCGATTATCCAAACACTCTCTCAACCAGCTCAGGTTGCCTGAAAGACAAATTCAGTTTTGATGATTTTTTTAAATTTGAAAAGTTAACAGAGCCATTAAAGGCATGTAGATTTTCCTGAAGGGTGCCAGTCCTCCTATGTATCTATGAGGAGAAAAAGTGATTAGCAGCAATACTTACAGTTCACAGAACAACCAGTCCAAGTTATACCAAATACATTTTTGTGCACTCCCAGAAGACATTTAGATTCCTACATAGTTAAACGGATGGTACCAAACTCTTTTTCTGTGTATACAATCACAGAGAGGCAATTCTACCAGGCTGTAAACCAGCCCAGCTTCTGAAAGCTGCAAGACTTATCAACTTGTTTAAGATACCAGACATTCAAAACAGACAGGAGCTCTTCATTCTAAACATGTTATTATTTTGATAGAAAACAACCAGATCACCCTTTAACACTACACAACTAAAACCTAAAATCACACTTACCACGTTTGGCAGCTTCATGCAGTGGGTTATCAATAGATTCAGCTTGCTCTGCCACTGAAATGAAACAGAGTAAATTCTAACTACTTATGAAACTAAGCAGATAGATAATTGACACCTGTGTGGAAATAAATCTTTGATTTATCCCAGAAGAATCAGTAATACCTATTTGATTCTAACATGAAAGGGGATTTATGAGTGACAGATTAGTCAGATGCACTTCAATTTCCTGTGTATCAGAAAGCAATTCAGATAAAAGCTTGTGAAAATTTCAAAGAAATTCAAAGAAAAGCATCAACTTGAACAGTTGGTTGCAAGTCACCAGGAATATGGCAACATTTCACCTCAACTGTTACTTCTCTTTCTACACTTGTAAAACGGTTTTGAGCAGTTACATGTGGCTAGGCTTTCAATCTACAACTTGCCATCTGTAGTTATGACTGAATTATTTCCAAGGAGCTGTGAAGAGTAACTAAAAAAATCCACTATTTGTTTTGTGGCAATCTTGTATTTTCCCTGGAAAGTCTGCAGGTCTGCAAATCAAAACTGCTTAAACAATGAATGTAGTGATGGGCAAACTTAAGTTCAGGCTTCTGTAGATCTTTTCTTAATCTCAAAAGCTTTAGTTTTACTAGAGAGGAACAGCAAACAGATCCTGGTCACTGTGCTGTCACAACAGCAAAAAGAAACTGAACAGCACTATTAAACAGTTAAAAGTGGGACTGTGACCTGGAAACTTTTAAAAAAACCTTCTTTTTCGGGTGGAAAACCTTGTTACTACTAAGGGTATAGACAAGTAGAACAGTATACAACCTGAGATGAGTAGGCTCGCTAAGCCCTTGTGCTATGGCTTGTTACAAGAAGCAGGGTGAATGTGAAATAATGTTCCTCAAACTGTTAATATTATCAGATGCATTGCAGGCAAATATAATGTAAGTCAGTTACCAGAAATAAAACTCAGGACTGGTGTGGTGTCCTGGTTTCGACCAGGATGGAGTTAATTTTCACTGGAGTATTTCATACCATGTGATGTCATGCTCAGGTGGGGAGGGGCTAGCTCTCCGGCTCTCTGCTCCGCTATGCTGTTGCTGCTGCTGGGGGCAGTCGCTGCACTCGGTAAGCCACTGTTGCATTTTCTTCTGAACTCGCTATTGTTACTGTTGTTCTCTTGCTATATTTAGTAAATTCTTTCTTTTTATTTAACCCACGAATCCTCTTCTTTTGTCCCTCCCCTGTCTTACCAGAGCGGGGAGGGGGAGGTGAACGGCCGGAGACGTGGTCTCTGGCTGCTGCCTGAGTTCAAACTTCCACGTGGCCTATCCAGATCTTTTCTTATTTTGGTGTATATTTCTCCTCTAGTGCTTGTAATTGCAAGACTTCACATGCTTATCTCTCTAGCTGTGAGTAAAATAAAATGCAAATGCTAGATTCTGATATTTTGATTAAAAAAACCCGTGCAAACAGTGAACAGAATCCTAAAGCAGAGTGGGAAAAGTCAGTCCCAGAGCAGCCAGCAGAACATCCTAGTCATATTAAGGGGTGCTTGTCGTGCACAGCAGAAAGCATTAACGCTAACAACACTGTCTCAAAAGCCTAAAAATAACTTTGTCTTTAGACAAAGTATTTATAATGCAGATAACACTAATTCTGTTTTCATCAGCTTTTCCATTCACAGTCTTTTCAAATGTGTTCCTTCAAGCCCAGCAGATGGAGCACAAGACCCCATGAAAGACTCGCTAGTTTCAGGTGTGTCTCCATCTTTTCCAAAAGCGTTATACAAGAGAACAAGGAGATCACAGTGTTTCAGTGGTTAAGACTGAACCTACACAGCTCTAATAGTGGCAACCAGCAGAAGCGGGCCATTGAGGATTTTGCATAGTTTGTCTAAATTAGAAGACATGTTCCTGGTAGTCTTTGTTCTTAAGGTCTGCAGAGGCTCCTGTTATGCTTACAAATGAAATTTTTGCAAATGTGTAGACAGAGACACCACCTCACAGCCCTACCACCCAGCATAAAATGGAAGTTAAGCTGTTACTCAGATCACTGTTCAGTAAAGCACTCTGGTAGCAACCTTCCAAATTATCTTAATGGGAACACAAACTGAATTAGTAAATTGTTGATTTTATTCTAAATATAACACACTTGAATATTCAAAAGAAATTTAAGTGTATAACTATTGCATAACTATGCATAAACTATTCTTGTATATAACAGTGACCACCTCTGGCAGGTGGCAAGAGCAGAATCAGTCTGCAAGTCACAAGCTAGAGTGAAACTTAGTGCCATGGTCTCAATAACTGCACACAGGCTTCCATTAAAGTATTTCTACTATCTACAAGTCAGGGCAGGGAATCATATCATTGCTACCATGACATCTTATAGTAAAGAAGGGACAATGTAAAGCAACCACAGTTACTAACTTACTAGCAGCTTTGATGCAATTTGTCTCGTAATACTGCTATTCTGCTTCTCTGTCTCCATTTCCTGGGAGGACTTGGAAGAATTGTGCTCTGCTATCTGTACTCATGGGTTTGCAAAGTGATTTTAGTTGAATCTGAAAAAGCAATTTCTATTCAGTTCAAGCATGTATGGGATATTTAATGTGGTGCAATCCCCAATAAAACAATGTCTTCTGTGGCTGAATATTTTCATCAAAAACCAACTAATGACAAACAACACATCCCTATTTATTAAGAGGGGGTGGGGGATGCAGAGTCATCAAAGGAAGTCCACAGATTTGCTCACAATCTGTTTTAGCATCCTGTCCATATGCAGGTTTACTTAACAATTATAGTATTGATTATCTCTCTTTCTAGGAAGTCACCCCACGCTGTGTCAAGACTTCTTGATCTCAAAGCTACTAAAGGCTGTGGCTGTCCATCCTTAGGTTGACTTAAAATAAGGCAATGTACAGACTGAAGGAATATAGCAAAGATGCTGCTAATAAGATTACTACAATACATTCACTGAAGGGATCAAGAAGACAAGCCTATCAGTTTCATGTGCTGTCTGTAAAACCATCCTCTAGATTCAAGTGTTCTTCCCCTCAAAACTGAGAACATCTATTGCTGTTACCTGAACAACCACAAACATGAACACATGGCAAACTCAAGCTGTCTCTAGGTTATAAAAACGTAAGACAGCCTGTCCATTGCTGTTGTACGGTGGTGACTGATACTGCAAATGTATTCTGAAATACTCTGTTAGACCACTGTTAAATGCCAATAATGTGATCAGTTTTTGAAAATAAGTGTATCAGTTATTTTTGAAAAGTAATGTTCTTTGACTGTGAATAATTTTAACAAATGAAAATATTCTAGACATTACCATAGTTGCTTGGAATTAGTCCCGTCCTCCCTTTGCAAGTTCCTTTCCACCAATTTGTATCACTCTGTAGAGAAAAGGCAAAATATTTCAGATGAGACATGCTGCATCTCAGAAGTATTCAGTCTATATGGGATGTCTTACTCACCATGTCTGAGATGTAAATGATATCTCCTTCTTCAAAGTATAGTTCATCTGGCTTTAAAAATAAAATAAAATAGAAGACTAAACAAAAATCTGAATCTGTGTACAGTATACCTGGATAACACAAGAGTACATTCAGCTCTTTTTTTTCAAAAGAACAATAATTCAAATTCTCTAGCAACAAGACAACAGCCTGACAGTCTTCATACTGTAGTGTGACTTGCCTACAGCTAACTTTTTGGATCTGTGACCTTCCTGACAACTAAAGAAAAAGACTGGCCTCTCCAAGACCACTGTGCAACAAAAGCAGAGATATACATTTTGTGTTTCTTAACTTCCTCCCTTTCTGGTTGGTCCCAGTTTGTCAAATATTTTAGTTCTCGGTTATCTTTGTTGCCTTTGGAAGAAAAGAATATAATCACTTAGACTGATGTTAAGACTGCAGGTAACTGATACTAGAGAAAAAAGCATGCTGCTTTTAAATAGAGCTGGAGTTAAAAGAGTGATGATTAATCAGGCAGTTTTAGTCAAATTAAGAACCAATATCCATCAACAGGCTTTTTCACTGAAAACACAGTACAGTAAGTCTAATAGGCCAAGCCTAGCAGAACTGAATAACTGTTATTATAGACAAGATTAAAATAAAGCTTCTCAAACCCCTAAAATCTAGATGTACTTACCGTTCTGGGCTCAAATGTATACAGGGCCCTGAAAACTTTAACCTGCCCTAAAAAAGAACAAAAAAACACCAAAATAATATCAGTATCATGCCTTCTAAGCACAGTATACACATACAGCTCTCAAATCCAAACAAATTTCATTCCTTAACCTTTAAAGCTGCTTCCTGAACGAATGTGTACTATGCCTCTGTCAATGAAAATTATGATGAAAAGACTCAACCCAGCAGCATGGGTTCTGAAGGAAATGGGCCAGCTGATTAGCTAAATGTAAGCTGCCTGTTATGCAGACCTAAGAAGGTCTTCATAGCTCATCATGCAAGTCAACCAGCGTTGCTGTCAATTTCTGAGGCAAAATGTAGTTTCAGTCATATACACCACCACACATCATACATGCTTTATATATTTTTATTCATAGTATCAGATTTGTCAAATGATACAGAATTAAGGAAAGAATAAAGAAACAAAACAATGACCAATGCCTGTAACATGTTTCCATTATCACTTGCAATTGTTACTAATTAGGAAAATAATGCAATAGCACAGAAATAATTGCGTTTAAGAAAAGTGACAAATGGTCATCAAGTCATATTTATGGAACATGCAACTGACATGGTGTTCTCTTCAGATAATTAAAATAAGATACAGTGTTTACAACTGCACTAAGTGGGCAACGTTTATTGTAATAGGGCAGTTTTGAAAAGACTGTCAGCAGCATTCAAGCCAAGAAAAGATAACCTCAGTGCAGAGATGTACAAATATAGTTGCATAAACTGCAAAAGCAGCATCCCTATAAACATTTTTTTAAAAAATTCAATAAAGGTACGTTTCAAGAGAAGCAAGCAGAACGTATGAGTAGAGGAGAAGAAAGGTCTATCTTACATAATTTTGTTAGCTGAACTGCTGAAGTCCACTGAATTAGTGGAGAAATGTATTATGCAGACTGTTCAGTATTGTTTACCTTTAAATATCAAAGTCTAAAGTATGTAGGTTTGTTTGGTTTTAAATAGCTTAACAATGTAGCTGTATTTCTTACAGAATAATCTGACTGAAGTCGTATTTGGTCCATCAGGAAAACGCATTACTTAGACCACACTTAGCCCAGGCTATTTTGTATCCTCAGAGAAACTGATGAACTTACACCTGAAGGCTAGTACTGTACAATAAAGTGTGCATACACAAAATCTTGTATAGTATGTTACTATCGAGACAACTGAGTGATGAGAGGTCTCCTTGTGTCTCAAGAATAAGCTTTTTCTGTAAAGAACCATTGCTAGAAATTTTTTCCCCTGTTTTATGCTAGATGTAGTCTTCCTTACCTCCTTATCTAGAAGCCTCCCCACAATAGTGATCATTTTATAAAGTTAAGAGCCTTAGAAATGTCAGTCTAAATGTATATAAAGCTTGAGAAAGGAGGATAATACTCAACTGTGAAGTTGACATTTTGCAGCATATCCCACAATCTTGGGGTGGCGCTTAAAAGATGTTTTCCAGTACTTCTGGGTATTCCCTAGCAAGAGCCATGGCACAGCGCATGTTTATGAAGTGGTATTTACCAAGGCATAACTACTAAGCAAAACATTGCTGTAGTCTTCTGTCTCAGGCTTTTTTTGGACAAAGTATATGTAGAATTATAACCCTAAAATTAATCCATATAAACTTTCTAGATTGCCAAATGCATGAAGACACCACAGATATGATTCTTCCAGTTTGCAACTGTATCGCATGCTCCTCCCTGATCTTATTTTTTAATAACACCACAGAATTTCAATTCGGCTTTACTGGTTCTCTCTCTCACAGAGCAGTTGTTTCCTAGACATAAAAGGTCCAACACTTCTCAGACCTTTGCCTCAGAAACTAAATATCTGCACTGTGGCAACAGCTAAAACCAATAAAACCTCTGTTCTGTTTGTTACCCATATAGAGATGATGAACAAGGACAGTAGACAGTAATGTGTCCTAGACCTAAGAGCTTCAGAATGAAATATTTGAACTGCAGCTGGAAAGAAAAAAGAAAAAGAAAAAAGAACAAGATGTGACAAAACAACATGGGTGACATGGAGTACTTTCCCTTCTCCTTGACTTTCTTATGTAGATGACAGAAAAATGCACGACAGAAATGCACACTGACAATTTTAACCATCACCCACCAATTTTCAAGGTTTTATATAAGTAAAAGGAGAAAATACACAATAAAAGGGAAGAATAATAAATATTAAAAGGGGAAATGAGAAGATGGCAGAATACAGGGAAAAGCAAGAAATACAGATTTGTGTATGTTGTATGTATTTTCTGTAACAATGTACTGCATTTGTGTCAACAGGTTTTCTAAAGCTATCACACCCTAAGGGGAGGAAAAGAAGAATGGAAACACTGATGCTGATAAAAGTATTGCTTACATGTTGTTTAAACAAAAGGAAACTCATGGTTGTTTTTTCTTGTGGTTTAATTTTTTTTTTTTTTATTCTATACAACTGAAAGAGTTACTTCCCCAAATGTCAAGCTGTGGCGTCACACACAGCATAACACATTCAAAAAAATTTTCCTGTGATGAAATACAAGGAACAGATTTGCATCTATAAAACTGCAGGTCTGGTTAATGTTAATTTTACAGCACCTTATATGGGAGTTAAACACTCCTCATTAAGGCACCAATCTTTTAAATATTTCTTGGTAAACAGACATTGAGCCTGGTTATGTTGATGCATTTAAGATCTAAGAAGAAGAGGACTTTAGCACTTGACATGGCAATTATTTGTGCCAAATTTTAATGCAAAAACTCAGTCTAGACGATTTAAAACAACAAAATGTAAGGATGGAAAGGGCACATTAAACTGGAATCCTGTTCTGCAAATACTGACAAACGGTATTTTACTAGGCACATGCGTAATTACTTACAAGTACTTTTATCTAGCAATGCCCATCCTTAGATATGCAGGAAGTGTCAGTGCTTGCATTGGTGGATGCTCTGGAATAAGCAGTAAGTTAGAAAGTGCCTCAGGACCTTTGGTGCTTTCCCCTACTACCATCTCTCCACTATGAACTATGTTGTAAGATGCATGTAGGATGGAGAATTAACACATTAGCACTGATTTGAACTTAAAGTTGACTGACTGCACCTCCCCACCATATATTTACAGAGGACAAACTAGAATACAGAAGATGCATGTACCTTTTAAGACTTCGAGGCACCAGGCAAACATTAATAACTTTATTCTCAGGATGACTAATGAGGGAGTATCCCTTTCAAAAACAAAGAAAATGGAGGCACAGTGCAGTGATGTGTCCACAACAAATCTTTTTCTAAGTGCAGGGACAAATTTAAGTGGTTTTCTTTTTAATCCCATAGTTTAGTCACAAGGTTGACTTTTCCCCTTTTCATGGAATTTGCATTAAACACCTGCAAAAAAAACCTATCTGACAAATAAAAAAGATAACTTATTATACTAAACAGATACAAGTATTCTTAGCAAGCCAAGCCACAATTTGCCAAAACTTTCCCCAGCAACACAACAGGGTAGGGGAGTCAAACTAACAATTCTCTCTAACCAGCATCATAAAAGAAATGGCTTTATCAGGTTGGGCAAATCAGATTTCTAATATGACCCTCTCCCAGCCAAGTGCATAAAGGTAAATAAACTAAGTAAACTCAGTAAAGAAACTGAGGTACTAAACAGTAACAACAGCTTGAAAATGAAGCCTCTGATATACTTAAGGGAAACGAGATTACTGTTGTGCTTTGTAATACAAAGTGATAGAAAAAAGACCAATTTCTCAAAATACTAAAGGCTGTCTCCTCCTAGCAATTTCGAGGTTAATTACAGAAGATTGTTTCCAAAGAAGTGCTAACTGCTTTCGAAACAAGGAGTTACTGTTTCTTTCAGTGATGCATTTTTTTTCCTCTACTTCCTTTCTCTTCTTTTACCCCAGCTTCTCTATACCACCAACAATAGCATTAGTGCCCTCTTTTACTCAATTTGTCAACAAAGCATTCTCTGCTTACTATTTTCTTTCACCCTTAAAAGAAAAAAAAAAAATAAAATCTGTTCCTGCATGGCATTACTTATTTAAATATTCGAGTTGGGCTGAACTTCCAGCACCAAAGGGGAGGCAAAGCAGCTTCATTAGCTGTCAATTTATATTACTTCCTCAATCCAAAAAAACTACTTGATGCAAGAGTCACTTGTTTTACTTTAAGAAAATAATCGTGGCAGTAAGCCAGTGTGCACAGGAGCTACCAAGGCTTGGCCCCGGTGAACTGATTCGAGTCTCTTGTAAGCATTTCACACCCTGCTTCTCCTGCTATAGACAAGGAATCAAACAAGGTTGTACAATATTGATATTGTTCCTGATGCAGCATCCGTATTAAGAGTGAGCAACTCTAGACTACCATAAAAATCAGAAATATTAACTCATGTAAACACTGAGTATAACGAAGCACTATCAGTGCCTGTAATACAGACAATGGGATAATCTCTGTGCTCTAGAAAATCAGAATTGGCCATAGTCATCTATGGATAAATTAGGAAATTTTAACTCTGTCAAGCCCTATAAGGGTTCAAGGTAATCCTGGGCTGTCACCAGCCATCCTCCTCCGTGCTCCCATAAGGTGGCACAGAAGCAGCTGAGAATCAGGTACTCTCTCTAGCACCAACTTGATTGAAAACAACTAATTTGAATCCTCACCTATAACAAGTGAACTAAAAAGAGAAAATATGCATAAGATTTTAGATGTGGGGAAGAAAATGGTCAGTCTGCATGTTATAGAGCCTATGCTGGTTTTAGAGTCACTTCACAGAACATGTGTGGGAATATGAATTCTGATACGTGTTCAGATGAATTTCTCTGTAGAAAGGCCTCTTCTGCCTGACCTTACAGAAGGTGTGGTGGCAAAAGGACAGCGTGTTTGTTTTCTCAGTGTTGGCCTAAGGACCTGCAAAGGCATTATACAACCTGGCAGTGTACACCAGCAGTGTGAAGTCACAACCTTTTGGTCAAGTGCCAATATCAAAGGTAAGCTGCAGATCAGAGTATCTGTAATATGCAGTTTGGTCTAGCAAGCAAAGAGATGTTCATGTTATGAATTGCATTGTCTCTTATGAGACATGTAATTTTATTAGAAGGACATTATGCCTAGGCTGAAACACTTTTTCCTGGCTTCTCAGGAACTGGAAAATAAGGTGCTTTACACCCATACCTTCAAGCAGAAATAAAAGTAATAGAAATAGTTTTACAGGAGGTATTTTGGCATTTTGTTCACAGGATCTTGCACAGAGACCCAATAAAGTACCAAACAGCATTTAAGGAGTGCCACAACTAAGACAGAAAAAAAGTGGAGTCCCTGCTGTTTAGAGAACCATCTTCCATTTCTAAGTACTGCTTGTTAGAAAGGGGAAGTGAACTTAAGGGCAAACAAATCAGAGGGAAGGAAGGGGGGAGGGGTGTATTAAACAACAAAGCAGCCTAGGAAATCCAGTACATGTTGAAAAGAACACAAAGGGTAGATTGGTGCCAGTGTTTAGATGACAAACTGGGATAGCTCAGGAACAATCATGGACTGCCCCAGCCAGTTGGAGTGGAAGGAACAAATAGCATATATTTACAGAAAAAAAAAAACAAAAAACAAAAAAACAGAATTAAGAATATTCTCACAGAAGATGTATGTGAATAAAATGTCACAAATTAATTTTGACTGGCACAGTTTGAGACTGAAATCTACTTCTTAGTAATGTTATTTCAGCAAATATACAGAACGCCTTCACTTGTAGGCAGCTTGTTTGTGAACCCAGTAGGGTGCAGTAAGAAGGAGGTTTGGGGTCAGAAACAAAAATTTAAGATTTGTGTTGAAATCAGACTTGGAACTGTGTAATTGTTCCTCTGCTGGTTTTTTCCCCTTAGAGCTGATGACCACAGTGTAACTCCCCATATTCACATGCTCCCATCTCCCTAGCTAACAGAAACCTTTCTTTGACTACAGAAGAAATCCAAACCACCATCACGTAAACTGAATTAGCCTGCTACTAAGCCCTTAGGCACATGACTCAATGCAGGTCTTCTGCTCCTGTGAATTCTATCACAGCTCCTATTTTACCTAAGAATTAAGATGAAGTGAACTGATGGTGATTAAGTATTTATGTTCAGAATCCTATTTTATCTGTGACATCTACTAGTGGCTCCAATGTCAACAAACCTACTTTAAGATAGTAACCCTTCACATTACATATGTTATGTTTCCTCCTGCCTCCCTCCTCCCTTCCTCTCAAGTGGAGTAATTTAAAACTGTAATTCCCTTGAGACAAAGACTGGTCTTTCTCCATAAAATGTAAAGGTAGTAGACCAGGATCAACGAACCTTATTATATCCGGAGAATATGAAAGTAATTAAGGTTTCTTTAAAATATTAATATACTTTCATCTCCCCAAAAATGTTGCTGCACATTATGTAAGGTTCTAATCAAAAATTTATAATCAGAGAGAGCCCTGTTCAGGGAGACAACTAACGGATGCTAGTATAGCTTGTGAAGTTCAAAGGACTTAAGTAGCTTCTGTAAATAGGATTAATATCCAACACAGAATGTTTAAGAAGTTTATGAACACTGCAAAGTAGTTTGAGACATCAGCAGAGGTTTTGAAAGATGGAAGGAAAACCCTGCCCTTGCATAACAGTGACAAAGTTTCTGATATTTTCAGCTCCATCCCATTTCACTCCTTTGTATCTTCAACAAGTCTAAATAGAAAATACAGCTAGAAAACAATAATAATACAGAGCCCTGAGAGAAAAGCAAAGCTAGACCCTTGTTTAAAAAGAAAGTCTCAAAACACTAGAGCCTCTGAAAACAACCTTACTCAAGGGCTAACCACAGACCCCTAAATACTAGGTCTGGTGTTGACAAACATCAGATTGTCTACAAACTACACCTCTCTGTAACTGCAATCCTAATGTACAGTGCATGCCACATAATTAACAGAAGAGCCTTCTGTCAGACATAATGCTCTCATGTACTTAAAAACCCCCACAGAATGCTATAGCTAGTTTTTCTTCCTTTTCACTTCCCTTTTCCCCCACATTTTTAAAGCAACATCTAGCCATTCAACTCTATTGTCCAACACCCCTGTGATGAGCAGTGAACACTCACTGTTTTAGAAAGGATGAATATTTATTTCATTAAATATTTTCACATCCCTGCCACCTGCTGCATCTCCTTCCATCTCTATCTAGCCTGCACCGTTTGTTTTCTTTTTCCTGAATACAAAGGAAAGGACTACAGCAACCAATGTCTTTTTCCATCTGATTCAACAGCAAGGCAGGCAGGTTTCCTGTTCCCTGACACAGGTTATAGCCCAGTTTATAGACTGGATACCCAGTAATAGAGAAGAAAAATTAACTCAGCTTGACCAAATGCACTAAGACCTTCCATCAGCTACAGTCACCAAGAAGACAGCATTATGCTGCTGTAGCAACTATTTCGCCACATGCAGTTCCTGTATTTATCTGTCTTTAATTAGCACATTTTAACATCTGTAACCCTGATTCAATGACAGTACAACAGGCATACCTAAATTATAAACAGAACAAAGCCAGACATACAGCTGCAGAAATATTTTGGAGTATGCTAGAAGAGAGTCTGTTCCTCAAAATGCCTTGGAAAAAATTTAACACAACAACCTCCAGAAGAATCTCTTCAAAAATTAGGGATTTGGCAAAATTAATCTTATTACCCTTAATCAGCTTTGAAAGTTACTACCAAGAGAGACTTACTCTCTTCCTCTTCCTTCTTTGGCCATTTTTTTTCCACCTATTTCCTTTTGCTCTGTCAAGCATTCATGCGGTAAACCAGCTCAGCAAGTTTATCAGACATAAAAATAACCTAACATAAAAAGTCAGAGCACTGATCCAGCTTGTCATGTCACTAAATTTAATGGAAAGGTGAGGGTGGGGGGTGGAGGAGGTAGGGGACCTGTCCTTTTGATGGCTGGCTGCATTTTATCAGATGAAGCATATCACAAAACTGCACTCCAGCAAACTAGTGAGACACCTAATATTAGACATAACATGTCTGAGTTAGTCTGATAGCTCTTGCAGGTTAGGTAGGGCTAGAGCCTTTAACTCCTTCAAAATCTTATAAATTTAACTCATCTTTTTGCGAACCAGAAAACTAAGTTACTAACTTTATTGGAAAAATCTATTCTTCTTACATACTTGGCTGTTAAGAGCAACACCACACCCTTTCAGAAGACCACAGATTTCCTCAGTATGGATTTTCAGTGAGAGTCCACAACAACAATTCTTCTGTTACTGTCTTTTTCATTTCAAGTAAGCTGTTTTCAAAGAGGCTTAGCAAACTGCAGGGCAGAGGAAATTCTTTCAAGGATGACACTCTGCAGATTTTGCTTCTGTGGGTAGGTTGAGACTGAGGTTTCAACAGTCTAAATCAGGTTTGCACTTACTCAATTTTAAATTAAAAACTCATTTTATAAGCTGTCTAGTTAAAATACTCCAGTAGGTTATGTATATAGTTATTTGTAAAAACCATATTTCAAATACTATTCTAAATGCAAAAAATACTGAAATTCAGATGTATTTAGGGATCAGATAATCATATTTTGGGAGACACCAACTAGTCTTATCTGTTTAATTACATGTACAATTAATTTTAACTTTAAAGTAAGAATGTAACCTTTCATACTGACGCTCCGACCGAGCGGTTGGCGGCGGCGGTGGCGGGGCCCGAGGGGCGCAGGCGAGGGTCTGCGCGGCGCCACCCGGTTCCACCGACGGGGTGCGCGGTGCCTCGTCTCGAGCGTGCGACAGGAGCTTGTGCTCGCGGGGTCTGTCCCGGCCCGGTGGTAGGCGCGCCTCGGACAGCTGCATAGCCGGGCGTAAGAGGTGGGGGCTCCGCCGGAGTGGCAGCCCTTCGGCCGGGACGGCTTCTTCTGGGTGTCCTCCAGGCGTCTCCAAGCAGGGGTTAAAGTTAAATGGGAACCCCAGAGAGGCTCAAGCGTTGGGAGCTCTTGGAAGAGGTGTGGGGCTCTGTGGCTCTGAGCGTGAGCTCCTCTGGGCCCCTCCATCAGCCCCGATGTGTTCCTACCCGGGTCTGGTGGTGCCTAGAAGGGAGGTGTTAGTGCGTACTGGAGTTTTGTAACTATGCCGTTAAATATAGGGTGACAGTAATTCAATGTTAAGGTTATCATGGGTTTATGTCCTTTTGGAGATGCTAAACCAAGCCTAGGTAGAGTTGTTCAGGATTTCCGTGTTGCAACATTGGTGACAAATTTGCCATTTTTGTTTCTGTCATACATTACTCTAGGGGAAGGAACAGTCAGTGTTTTTTTCCATCCTGGTGGTTTTTTGCCTTAAACTGAGATTGACTTTAATGTAGACAGTGATGTAAATTAGAGTCCAAAGTTCAGGATGTGTGTCCAGATGTTATTTATTTTGTTGCATAGCATTTTTTGTGGGACAAAGGCTAATCCTCTGGAACACAAACCTTACTGATGATTCTCAGAAAAGAGCTTTTTTTAATTTTTTTTTTTTTTAAAAAACTCGGTATCATTGCTTCCTGAGAACAGATCATCCGTTTGCATTCTGAAGGGACAGCCAATACCATAAACATGCAATGCATCACTGAACTTGAGAATTACAGTATTTTTAGAAAACCTTCACATGCTAACTTACAACTTGCCAATGCTGACTACTGTACATGTGCAGCACTATTGCAGAGCAATGACTGTTATACTGGTGATGATTTGAATTAATCAGAATGTCTTTTTTTTTTTAGCAGAAAAAACATAAAGCAGCCATGCAACGATCACATCATAGACCTGTGAAATAGTTGAACTTCCAGTCATTGCAACAAATGCAAAAGGATGTTATTAAGTCAGACTCTGTGTATGTCTAACACTTCTTTTCACAGAAATAGTGTGATTTTACTTTCATACTGATGTTCTGTAACAGTATTTTTTCTAGTATAGTACAGAATACTTGTTTGTCACAGAGAGGAGACTGTTAACTGCTCAGTCCTAAGTGTAACCTAGGAGGGCAGAGTAGGTAAAAAACAGGGTGTTTGATTGTGGTTAAACAGCTCTTAATTGATGTGTGCTCATAGAAAGCAATGTTTCACAAACTCTGTAGACTAGTGCTACTTGCAAGCGAAGCAGCCCCAGTACTGCCTGTTCTGCTACACCACACCTTTGCAGGCAGGGGTAACCGGATGGTAAGCTGGAGAGTGTTTGTTCAGCCAAACACTAAAGTTCTTCCCCTCCCTCCTCCTTTGCAGAACTGTTTTTTAGTTGGAATAGTTCACTATGGACTCTGCAGACACCTGCTGCAGAAGAATATTCTGGGAAAAGAGTTAGGGAAAGACAGTATTTTGTCCTCTGACCACTGAAGGTGTTCAGCCAGCCAGAGCCTCTGGGTTGGTTTCTTAGCAGCAACAGGGATTTGCGTGGACAAATGTAACCTCTTTCAGAGTCTCGGTCTTTGATCTTTTCTGGAGAAGATCAAGTGCTACCTAGTCCTTCTTAGTGCTAAGTCAGCTAGGATTGTTTAAACTACCTTTACAGTCGTTTTAATTACTCCATATTAGCTGTGGTGGAGCAGAGGAGAAGTGCTTGTATGGTTTGTACTGCTTAACTCTCACAATAAGGAAGTGGTGAATTCTTACACTGCTGAGACCAGATTCATAGAAGAATCTTAAAACATACTTTTTGTTATAACCCTTAATGACTTTTTAAAAACATTTTTCTCCTCAGCATGTCCACTTGTTTCTTTTTCAAGGTTTTTGTTTGTTTTGCCACCACAGCTTCTGTTTACCTAGTCTTTTTTAAACCATTAGTGCTTGTGGTACTGATTGTGCTTTTCTTCAGGGACTTCTGTGGTATTAATATTGGTAGAATTGGATCTCCGAGTGATTAAAATACTGTCTAAGGTAAAATGCATTGAAATCTGTGATGTGGCATGAACATACAGGTTTTCTGTTAGCATTAGAACAAGCAGTTGAGGTTCTGACAGTAGCTTTGCAAAAAGGACAGAAAATAAGTCTTATCTATACTCAGTATTTCTTAATACAACAGCTTTCCCTGTTGCTTAATTAAGAGTTTTCACTGGCTACTATTTTTGACAGTGAAGAGGAAGAACTGAGAAGAAAACAAACTATGAAAGCATTGGTTATTGGCCTTGGAGGGTAAGTATTATCAAATTAAATTTCCTCTATAGCTTAAGACTGGTCTTCCTTTCAGAATGATGTGATTTCTGTTTTTGAATGGTTATTTTTTGAAAATAGATTACAAATACAACATAATTGTTTCATTTTATGGCATGTAACTCATAAGAAATTGTTCCATCTCTGTTGGAGATCTTGGGTACCACCTCTCTCTAGCCTCTTCTTTGGCACTGCTAGATTTACTGTCTGAAAGCTCTTGGAACCTGCCAGAAAGCTTCTAGAGATAGAGAGTATTGTGAATAAACTTGGGGGGGGTGAGGGGAGGGAAAGTTGGATTGTGTCTTTGTGTCTAACTGTGTGTGTGAGCTTGTGTATATTTTTTAAATACTGATTTTTGCTTGATGCAGTTTTTACTGTGTTTTCTAACTCAGTGTAACAAATGGGGGGAAAACAACGCTGGCAAAAAAGCTTAAGAAAAGGCTTCCCAACTGTGATATAATCTCTCAAGATGACTTCTTTAAGGTAACAGTACTGATGGAAACATCTGATAGGTAAAAGTAGGCTTGAGTAGATTTAGTATAATTTCTTCTCTTTCCAGTTCTTCTATTGATAAACTTTTAAAATTGATGCTGGTAATGTTACCTTCCAGAAAAAGAGAAATAAAATGAGCACTGGGGGTAATGGAACTTTCAGTGGCCAAAACCACTGAGCACACTCTGAAAAAAGAAGTTTTCCATCTTTGATAGCATTTTAAGATAAGGAACAGTTGCATGTTGGATGCATTTTTCTATATACTTTGTGCTAACGAAGTTAATGATACTGTGTTAACCCTACACCCATACAGCAATAGGTAGTTCTTTGCCAAATCAAAACAGAAGACCAACTTTTGCATTGATGTTGGAGTTGTTTGTTAAGGAGGGTGAAGGAACTCTTATTTCTGAAGTAAAGCTCTAATGACCTTGAGAGAAGTGATTTGGGGAATTTGTTGTTCTAGATTCAGTAAGGTGTTTGTACTATATAGTAACACTTGTATACAGCAGTTTAATTTTGAAGATAAATTTAATCAATCAGGATACAAAAGTGTATAACCCTTGTATTTGTAACTGCAGTGTATATATATGTGTGTATATACGTGTGTGTATATATATATATATATAAATACATAAAATGTGTGACAGTGGTCATAAAAGCAGTGTTAAAAATACTAAATTTTTTTCCCCTTCAGCCAGAGTCTGAAGTAGAAACAGATGAACGTGGATTTAAGCTATATGACGGTCAGTTACTTTGATGTGTTGTTTTTGAACATTGTACTGAAATCCTGTTATGCTGAATTTTAATACTTCTTCCCCTCCACCTCCTGCCCTTCTTCCCTTTCTGAGCAAGGCAGTAAACAAATGGTTGTTTCAGAGAAAGCCTTTGCTCAGTTTCTTTCAGCTCTCTGAGATAAATAAGAACTTCTACAGTTGCATCTAGTGCAGCAGGAAATGGTACTATTCAGTTAAAAGTCTTGGCTTGCAGCACTGGTATAAGCTTAACCATCACTTTATGTAATGATGGATTCTTTTTTCATTTTGGTAATGAACTCATGGGATATCACTATTGAGTCTCTTTCATTGTCATATTACAAATCAGCCAAAACTCAAGTCTGATCATCCCACCTTTATCATGTCGGATCTCACATAAAGGCCAAAAAGTTTTGAAGAAGCCAACTGTGTCTTATAAACTTCTAGATCCAGATCCACTTTAGGCCAGTGCTTTGGTTCATGTCCTATCTAGTTGTGAACAGTTGCTTATTAACTAATCTCTGTTGATACTTGGTGATTCCAAAATGTATTACTTGAAACATTGGCTGAAACCTTACATTGTTTCTGAAGACTGACTTATCAGCTATGCAGTCTTTGGCTTAACTTCTAGACTTCATGAAACTGGCATGTGAAACTGAAGGGCTAAGTTTGACATGCTGGTTCATATATCTGGGTTTAATGCTGCTCTTAAAAGCTCCTCTAAAGTTTGTATGCTGTTATGTTATCCAAAGGCTGCCTTCTTTATACCATTCAGTACTTAATATGTTTTTGCATGTCTACAGACAAAATCAGGTGCTACATTGTGCTGTTTTGCTTTGTATGCCATCCTCCTTTCAATCAATCTGTCCCCAATAAAAACGAAAAGTAAAAACTTTTGAGCATCCAGTCCCTTCACCTGTGTCAGTGACAATTGACAGGAGGATGGAGATCTTGGGGTAAATAAGTTTTTACAAGTTTTGTGGAATAGAAAACTGCATGGACTGTTAGGGAAAGGCTGTGAAGTGAGGTCACACACTTTTTGGTGCCACAGAGTTCAGAGAGACCACACCCACCAGAAATACCCCAATCCTGGGGAAAGCTTTAGTTTCAGGGTATCATCAGTTGCAAACATGGAACTACTTTTATGCATGAGACTGACTTTTCTTGGGTAATCCTGCTCCCTTTCATTTAGATGTGCATGTAAATTACTGATTAACCTATGGGTACTTAAAGGCTTTTTAAAATTATTCTTAGGCATTCTTTAATGACCAACTTTCTGTTTTCGTCTAGTACTTGATGCCCTCTATATGGAAGAAATGGTGAAGAGGATTCGCAATTGGATGAAAAGCCCAGCAAGTTCAGGTGTTGTGACAGAAGAGCCACCGAATACATGTGACAGTGTGAAAAATACGGATGTTTATATTTTGATTGTTGAAGGCTTTCTGCTATACAATTATGAGTAAGCAGTAATATGTAACCTGGTATATTAAAAGCTGCCCTAAAAGGGGAGAGGCAAATAAATATGTTATTATCTTAGGCCGCTTAATGAACTATGGAATAGAAGATATTTTTTGACCCTTCCTTATGAAGAGTGCAAAAGGAGAAGGAGGTAAGATACTCAATTTATTGCTTACTGAGGGTCACTGTACCCCTTAACCTGAAGTGGTTCTTTTGACTAGTTTTTCTTCAGTGCAAATGTGAGCTATTAAGATCATCTGTCCTCTGTGATTCTGGGGAAGACTATGTGGGTATTTAACCGGCAAAAGCAAAAGCATACAGAGATGAGGGGTGGGTTGTTTTTGGTTTGGGGTTTTTTTTATGTTTTAGAGCACAGGCATATCAAAGTGTTAAAATGTTTTAGAAATGCTGAAAAGAGAATTTGTTGTCCAGATAAATTATTTTGATTACTGACTGCATATTGAAATTACACCATGTTTAAAATGAAAACAATTTAAAAATACTAAGCAGTCTTATCCTTGGTTTAATACTTGGTTAAGGTAACAACGTTTGTGGGTTTAGTGTACACTTTGTTTAAACTGTGCATTAGTTGTACTGTATATCTGATTTAGATTATTAAGCCAGTGTCTGACTTCCAAATTTGAAATAATACATGTGCACAAAGTCAGAATCTGCTTGCTGAGTAAAGAAATCCTATATTCAACTGGCTTTGGTTGGTTCTATTTTGCTGTTTTTTTTCACTAGACTCACCTTTAAAGAACTTTAGTGTCACTGCTGGAAGTGACTAGACAAAACCACTAGTCATTTAAAACTTAAGAAATGTGTATGCCCAGTAAAAAAAAGAAGTAATTTGTTTTGGCAACACTTTCAATACCACTTAATTTATGTGTAATACCTTTTTCAATTAAAAGCCCCCCAGACTTTTACCTTATTTTAAATGTAGTTTATTGGCACAAATAGGTAAGTTAGCAACAATTCGTATCACAGAAGTATATTCAAACAAAGGAGCCTCCTTTGCTCCAACAGTTACACAGCCTGCCAGTCTTTTTAATTTTGGATAAATGCTTTTATAAAACTAGCTAACACTAGGGGAAAATGTTAAACTTGTATGAGAAAGCAAATATATTTTTATGTAGCACCAGAGTCTATCAACCAGCAGATACACCGGGGTACTTCGATGGACACGTGTGGCCTATGTATCTGAAATACAAAAGTGAATTGGAAGAGAATGCAAGTAACATTGGTATGGTATCTTCAATTTTAAACTTATAAAATACTGAAGTGTGGCAGCTGTGCAGTTTTTGTTGGCTTTTTTGAATAGGATAAAATTTTCTTCATGTTTTTGTGGCACTTGGACAGTAGGTTTGGACCTTTTGTTGGCTTGTTTTTCAAGTCTATAGAGTTATGGGGTTTTAATAATGAAAATTATGAAGTTCAAACCCAGAAATGTTCTGATCGCTAATTAAGTCCATTGAACAAGTTTGTGTGTGCACACGTGCACACATGCGTATGGCTAAATAAACAGCTTCTGAGAATGATAGTTGAGGTGCTGACTGTACACAATACAGTCGTAAGTCTTGCATGAGAAGTATCAAAGCTGAGCCAGCTTCTGGGATGCTGCCATGAGCGTGTCATGTTCACACTTGTACAGCTCTTGGACTGCCCACTTCTGGAGTGGGAGCTAGAGAAAATGGAAGTTAGGTGGCTGCTTCACCAGCACACTGCTTGTTATTGTGCAGTAAGAATGGGAACTGTAGTGTCCATCCTTCACTTGCTCAAACCCTGAAGCTGAGGAAGAACCTGAGGTCTTCCACTGCATAGGAACCTTTCTGCTCTACTGTCCCAGTGTTAATAGCACTACCCTTATGGACACTGTTATACCACAAAAAATGATAAATTAATTCTTAACTAGAATACTTTTTCCATTATGTTATTTTTTTAATGTGTAAAATGATTTTAGGAAAGATGAAAAGGGAGATACTGGTTTGCGTTTTATTTTTCGTCTGTTGTGATGGCACCAATAGGAATACTGAAAACTTCACCAATTGCTGTTACTGATAACTGGCGTAGAACTCATGAAAACTTTTTCTTTTATCTGTCTCAGTTTATTTGGATGGAACAAAATCCCAAGAGGAGCTTTTATCCTGTGTGTATAGTGATATAATACAGGAATTAAAAAAGCTGAGGGAAGGAAGTAAGTAATGTTACTGGAAATTGAATCTGCTTATCCCATTCCAAGTTAACAAGAAGCTAATCCTTTTATGTGAAAATACTGCAAGGATTATACAGATCTGTATCTCCTTATGTATTACAGTCCTTATACATGTTTGCCCATTACTTAAATAATCATAAGCTATAATTTCAAGTTCCTTGAAATTGGATATTCTGAAGTAAAAAATGAATCCACTGTTACCTAATGATAAAAAATAATTTTAAAAAGGAAGAACTGAAGGAATATGGGGCAAAACAGCAATGAAAGCAGATGTTTTGGTGGTATTAGTTTCTAATACATAGTGATGTCATGTGCAAACAGAGAAATGACACTACAGCTTAAATGTATACTATTTATTTTAGATCAGCAGGTCACAACATGATTTTGTAGAAAGCCTGGGTTCCACTTGCTACACCTTGAAAACCCTCAAGACTGTCATACTTGGCAAGCCAACCAAATGATGAAATATTATGTATATGTCCATAATACTAATTCATACAACACAAGTGATTTGTAGCAACTGTTAACTCTGGAAGCCTCAGATATTGTTGAGTGCATTATGCTCTAAAATTCCTTTAATCAGTCATGCTGATCTTTAAATCTGGTTGAATGTGTATGTTTTAAAGAATATAAACATATCTTTGTGTACAAAACTAAACTATGAAGATGCAGGTCTGTTGGTTTAATAAGTATATTTGAACATGGGTGAATGCAATTTGAAGTGTTCATGTAGGAATGACAGTGATTACCTCTGATATTCTTGCAAGCTTCTAATCACTGATAAACATGGTTAGAGGAACTAGCTATGCTGTGGCAATAGTAGGTTTAAGATTATATAGGCTCTAACACTGCTTATTCAGCAACTGGACCTCTTGTATTAATACATCATTACTGATTTTATTTAGACTTGCTAAATACCTCTGTGGTGTCTGTCAAGTAATTTTTAAGTTCTGTATTGGTTGGAGCAGTTGGGAATGGATATTTAAAAAAAAATCCGCACAAACCTGAAGGGAAGTCAGGTTGTTGGAAAAAGATGGAGTAAGATGTTGCAGAGAATGCAGATGCATCACTAAGTATACATATTGTGCAGACATTGAGAACTGGGATGATGGCACAGGCTACTAGATAATAAATGAATACTTCAGAGAGGGTGAAGAAAGAAATAATTCTTATTAATATTCATAGCTCAGGTTGAAATTATAGTAATGAAAGCATTCAGAAAGCAGGTATGCTAAATATGTTAAAGCTTTGTGTAGGATTCGTGTACCTATATTTAGATAAACTGGGAAGTTTGAATAATGTTTGGTTGCTGAATAAGTAATGTATTAACTCTTACATTTTCTATACATTTTTATCTTACATTTTTATCAGACAATAAAAATCAAGCTGCAAACGTGAAAAGCAAAGGATGGGCTATATTACTTACGCGTCAGCTGAACTGATCTCAGTGATTGAATGTCATGTTTTATTGTTAACAGTATTAAGGATCATTAACCTGCATATAAGAAAAAGGTCTTAAACAGATCACAAGTGTGTAAAGCTGTGTTTAAGACAGTGCTTCCAAATACTACTTATTATTATTTTGCAGTAAAAATACTTCAAGTTGCATTTGATCAAATGCAGTGATGGACTGTCTAACTTTAAACTGTAGTTTTGTTTTTATTTCCCTTTGGAAGGGGTGCAACTGTGAGAGATCAGCTAATACTTGGATGGTTGTGCTGGGTTGACCTTGTCTAGCCAACAGGTGTCCACCAAGCTGCTTGTGGGTCAAGATAAGGAGATCACTCAGCAATTACTGTCATGGCCAAAACAGCCCTGACTTGGGGAAATTAATTTATTGCCAGTCAAATCAGTAGGATTAAGAAGCAATGAGAACAAATCATCAAACATGTTCCCCCACCCCTCCCTTCTTCCTGGGCTCAACTTCACTCTATTTCTTTACCTTCTCCTCCTGAGCATTGCAGGGGGATGGGGAACGGCGCTGTGGTCTGCTCATCATATGTTGTCTCTGCCACTCCTTCCTCCTCACACTTGTCCCGCTCCAGCATGGGGTCCCTCCCACAAGAGACAGTCCTCCATTAACTTCTTGAGCATGGGCCCTACCCATGGGCTACAGTCCTTCATGAACTGCTCCAGCGTGCCTTCCTCACACGGGTCCTTCAGAAGCAGACTGCCCCAGGGTGGGTTCCCTGTGGGGTCACAAGTCCTGTCAGCAAACCTGCTCCAGCATGGGCTCTTCTCTCCATGGGTCCAGAGGCCCTGCCAGGAGCCTGCTCCAAGGTGGGCTCTCCATGGGGTCACAGCCTCCTTCAGGTGCATCACTGTGAACCTCCATGGGCTGCAGGGGGACAGCCTGCCTCACCATGTGTAGGGCATGAGAAGGCTTTGTTATGAACCTGAGACAGTTCACTTCCCCTACCCAAGTATGTAGAGTACCAAGCACTTCTTATTTTCTTGTTAGGGTAAGCTGGGATAGTTTGTTTCCCCTTTGTCTGCACATAACTCCTTCACAGGTGTCAACATGTCAGCCAGCTGCAGATCTCAGAATTCAGACAGCAGTACCTATATTACATCAGCAAATTCACTAATGAGAAAAACAGGACAGTGTGTATGTATGATATGTTAAGCAGGCCAAGTTTTATTATCCACCCCTGCGGTGGTTTTGCTAGAGCTTCACTTCCGAGTGGGGCTCCACTGCATCAGGTCCACATCTGATCGGTGTTGGTGTCTGGAGGCTCACACTGTGGTAATGCCCTGCTTTCCATGAAGCCAAAGCTTTCACTCACTGAGTGCTGTGCCTGGTCCCTGAGGGATGTGACCAGCTTTTTACTCATAAGCGCTCACCGAGACCATCCTTAGATGGTATCAAAACTGATCTCCTACAGTGAGTGGTTCTTCATTCTCCCAGTCCCCACCTTTGCCTATAGTGACTTGAGTGGTATGGCTGGAGCACCTGCCAGTGAAGACTGAGGCAAAAAAGTTGTTGAGTACCTCAGCCTTCTCCTTATCCCAGGTAACCAGGTCTTCTGTTTCCTTCTGGAGAGGGCCCACACTTTCCTAGTCTTCCTTTTATTGCCAGCGTATATACTTACAGAAACTTTTCTTGTTGACCTTGACGTTGCTGGCCAGATTTAATTCTATTAGGGCTTTGGCCTTCCTAAACTAATCCCTGGCTGCTCAGACAGTTTCTCTGTATCCCTCCCGGGCTACCTGTCCTTGCTTCAACCCTCCATTAGCTTCCTTTTTGTGTTTGAGCTTGTCCAGCTCCTTGTTCATTCATGCAGGCCTGCGTGATGCATGAATGATGTCTGTGCTTTGTCTCCAGCACCTCCCACCGAACACCTTTGTAGTCAGAACTGTCCAGTCACTTAATGTAGTTGTGGGAGAGCAAGAACAGTGTGAGAGTAAAGAAAACTGGAAACGGTTAGTGAGAGTGTTCTGTTGGGAGTCTGCTCCTATTTCCACAGAGAGGTTAGTTAGTGTGTCAAAAAACTCTTCTGTTCCTGCCTGTTACATTACTTGGTTTACTAAAAGACTGCCACTCACTGCCTGCATGACTTTAGACAGCGAACTCTTCAGGTTCTCAAACCAAGGAGGGGATGGACCCTTACAAAGGAGACCCTGTGGTATGAGCTGCTGCTTCTCAAAGCAAGTTGGAAAGGTGCATGGTGACTTGCTGAAGGATGAATGAGGGTGTTGAAACCTGGTCAGGCAAGTTTTGTCAGGTGGAGGAGGATGTGCTTAATTGTCTGGGTGAAAGTGTGTTAGTGTGGGGTGAAATCTAGTATCCAGTGACTCATGCATTGCCAGACACTGCTTAACTTGCCTCCTTGCTTTTCTCTCCCTGCCGTTGGTCTTCACGCTTGTTTTCAGAAAGCACAATCCAGCTTTGCTCTGGCACAGAGGTACCTGCAGAGTTCCCTTTGTGGGTCCTGCCTCGTCAGCACAGCTACCTTGCTGCTCGGGGACAGCTGCTGCCCGGGGCTGGCAGCATACCTTGCCAAAGGCTGGAGCAGCCAACCTGGCGGAGGCCGGTGGCCTGCCAGGCAAGAGCTGGCGTTAACAACTACTGAACTTGCAGTTTATTCATTTTTTGTGCGAGGACTCCAGAGGAGCGAGGCAGGCACGCATCCTCCTCAGGTGCGCTCCAGAGGCATTTCAGCGTGGCTGCTACCCTGCGGCAGCCCCAGGGTGCCATTTCGGGCAGACTGGGACTAGCGCTATGCACGGGGATCGATTCTGCCTCCTTGTAACCACTGGGCGCGGCTCTCAGGCGCTGCCCGGTGGGCTGCCTGTGCCTAAGGGCGGGGGCTCTATCGTCAAGCAGGCCGCCGCCGCACCGACCCGCCTCCCCGCGGCCCGCCCCTCCCCGTGTCTGCGCCTGCCGCCATCGCCTCCCTCTTCTCGCGATACCGCGGGCCGCCCGGAGGAGCTGGCGGGCGCCGAGCCGCCTCCCGCTGCCCCGCGCCGGAAGTGACCGAGAGAGAGCGCGCCCCGCGCGGCCGTTGGCGGCGGCTGTGTTGGAGATGTCGGCCACGTGCGCCGTGCCCCGTAAAGCGC